CCCCGCTAACCCCGCTAACCCCGCTAACCCCGCTAACCCCGCTAACCCCGCTAACCCCGCTAACCGCTAACCCAAAGCTCTACAATCTCCATGTATCTCTCTTCACCCTGCCAACCCTAAGGCTTCTTCGGCTAGAACTCGGTCCGGTCTTTGGGAGTCCGCAATCGATATGAATGATGGATCAACGAAATCGAACAGCGAATGGACCTCATGAGGTTGTAAGCAAGCTCCTTCCTCCCGGCCGATCGCCTATAGCAACTGATTACAAGGGATCAGCAAGCAAATTCACCAGCTGTCAAGAACAGAGTGACGCACGTTTTACATGCCGTAAACATGGAAGAATTTGGGCATCAGGGTACAGCCTTCAAGGAAGTGTCGGTGGTCTCGGACAGAAGCGGCAATGTACTACAAGACTGTTGACCTGCATTAGAAAAGAGTCAGCCCATACTGCGCACGCTCACGCCCAGCCAGCTGTATACCTTAGCCATCCTCCTTGTCGCTGTTGATCCCAGTCAAGTCAATCGCGCAAACGCCGGCGCCCTGCCCTGCAGCCTCCACTAGGTCCAGTCTGACAGTCATCGCCCTCATAGGATTTGCAGGAGGAGATGATGCGAGAGGGCGCGAGTCCTGTCCCTGCTCTTGTGGTTCACCTTGTGCCCCTTCTCGTACAAGCCCCATGAGCCCCCACCATCCCCGCAGATCGCCCTTCAGCATCCTCCCATTCCATTTCGGCCCCTGCTGCAGCCTGGCGGTCGACGTCGGATGTAGCGTCCAGGTGGTTCGGGTGGAAGCAGCCAGATTGGCGGCGACCAATGCCGCCTCTTGGGGCTTTGTCCACTTGATCTCGATGTCGAAATAAGCTCGAAGCGGCTGTTTGTTATTGTTAGCTTCCTTCGGCCGACTACACATGATTTTCGACGAACCTGGCGGCCAGAGGGCGACGAAGGCTTCGGGGGCGGTGAACGACCAAGTGGGGGGGGGTGCCAGAAATCCGACACCAGTTCCTTCTCGGCAGGGAGAAGGTCGTTCTCTGACTGGCGGTAGGCCGCGCGAGTAGGATCGTTGGGATAGAACTTGTACATCCAGTGGCCCTTGGGAGCCCACCAGACGTCGGCGAGCGCAATGGAAAGCTGGAGACGAGGCGGCCGCGATAGCGATAGAAATCGGGATGTCTCGCATCGAAATTGATTCCGTCAGGATCAACCTTGGGCCCGGGTAGAAGCACTTCCGGGGGAGAGGGGCGCGCGGAGGAGGGCGCGGAGGGGAGAGGGGAGAGGAGGGGGGCGCAAGGGGGGCGCGAGGGAGGGGAGAGGGGAGAGGGGAGAAGCCGGAGGGGGGGCTAGAGCATGTTCGAACTCAGCGTCGCGTCGCTGCGATTAGAAACGGATGATTAGGAATGGCGGATGGTGGTTTGATGCCGCTAATACGGCTGACCGAGCTAATGAAATTGCACCCTGAAAAGTCGCGTCTGTGCTCGCGTCGTGGTCGCTCTCTCTATTTTACTCTATTGCAGCTGTACTTCCGACCATTACGACATTCACGACCCCCCTCCTCGACATCCCCCCTCCCCTCCTACAGACCGCGCCACACTCGTTCCCTCGCCTGGGCCATGCCTCACACCTGCTGACCCTCGCCCGCCTATCATCTGTCCCCGGTGGACGACCCGACAATGTCCAAAAATGACGCCCCTCTTCCCTTCACCTCTGCCCGCCCCCTCCCCACCCGCCAGCAGACCACGGGCACTCTCAAACGGGGCAAGACCCTCACCCGCCCCGAACGCCACATCGCCCCCGCCCCCCTCATCGCGCCCCCCGAAGCCTACGCAACCACCGCCCCCGCCTCTTCCACCACCCTCGACTGGTGGCGCCTCTGGTCCTACGCGACCACCTTTTGGGCCCCGCCCGTCGTGCTGGGCTGGTTTGGCATAAAGGAGCAGCAGAGCAGACAGGCATGGCGGGAGAAGGTGACGCTGTGCTGGATAGCGGTGGTGATGGGGGGAATAGTAGGCTTCGTGACGATGGGGCTGCAGAGAGCGCTTTGCCCGGAGGATCAGCAGAACAATAGCTCGTTTCTACGGCTAGGAGAGACCGACTGTGAGTAGACCCCGGCACCCAGCAAGAGTGGAGCTGATATCGCATAGTGACCGTCAGTATATCTGGCTGGGCGTTCAACATCTCTTCCTCCCTCACCCAAGACGACGTCGACTTTTACTCCCTCTCTACCCAGATGCCAGGGCAAGACGTCACAAACCTTTTCATTCGAAACCTCACCGACTTTCCCTCCTGTACCTCCGACCTTCGCTACTCCACCACCCCCCTCTGTGCATCCTCACCTGTCACCGGCATCACCGAGAACGGTACTCTCCAAGCCTGCCCCCTCGCCAAGCTCTCAGACACCGTCCTCTCCGACCTCAACGTCCAGAATACCTCTCTACAAGAAGGCTACAGCTGGGACCAGGTCTCGGCGCTGGACGACTACATGGTGCTCGACGGCTTCGTGCTAAACATGTCCCCTTATCTCGAGGCCAACCCCACGGCGATCGAGGGCGACGTCGTCGACGCCATCATCCGCCAAATGACGTCCAACCAAAGCACCTCCGGCAAAGACACCACCCGCCTCTTCTACAACACCCCCACCGCCCGCGAAGCCATCTCTTGCCTGCAAGAACGCTACTCTGCGGGAAAGATTGACAAAATCACCCCCGGCTGCTTTGTCGCGAGCCTGTTCCTGTACGTCTCGCTGGGGGTGATCCTGTCGGTGGTGTTTGTGAGGTTTGCGATGGCGTGCGTGTTCAACTGGTTCTTGTCCGCAAGACTGGTATTGCCGCCGAAGAATCTCTCGCGAACGGCCATCAGCCCGGCAGTCATGCCCGAAGGCGCCAACGTCTCTGTCAACAACCGCTCGGGTACCGCGCCGTGGGCTGGCGGCGCCGCCGTCCCCACCAAAAACAAACTCAACAAACTCGGCAAACCTTCCCCCTCCCGCGGCCCTTCCCCTTCCCCTTCCCCCACCACCACCCGCCAAAACACAAACAACCCCCTCATCTCCCTCTCCCGCGTCGGCGCCGAACTCTTCGCCGTCTGCCTCATCACCTGCTACTCTGAGGGCGAAGACTCCATCCGCGGCACCATGGAGTCTATCGCCGCTACCAACTACAGCGACGCGCGCAAGCTCATCTATGTCGTCTGCGACGGCATGATCACGGGCGCGGGGGAGAAGAGGAGTACGCCGGATATCTGTGTGGGGATGTTGGATGCGGATCCGAGGTTTGGGAACCCGCAGCCGATGGGGTATATTGCGGTGGGGAGTGGGGCGAAGAGGGAGAATCGGGCGATGGTGTATGCGGGGCATTATGGTGAGTACTTTATGTCTATGAAGGGCTGTACTGATCTGATCGTATTGTAGTCACGCGAAACGGCCATCGAACCCCCACCCTCATCATCGTCAAATGCGGCATGCCCTCCGAAGCTCACGAAAAAAAACCCGGGAACAGAGGAAAGCGAGACTCGCAGCTCGTCCTCATGAACTTTTTCTCCCGGGTCACCTACAATGACAGGATGACGCCGTTGGATTTCGACATGTTTAGAAAGGTGCAGACGATGATGGGCGTGACGCCGGATTACTTTGAGGTCGTCTTGATGGTACGTCCCCCCCGCCCCCGCCCATTGTGGATGTTGGATGGAGCTGATGGAAAAAGCAGGTCGACGCCGATACGCGCGTCTATCCCGATTCGCTCAAACACCTCGTCAACTGCATGCACCACGACAACATGATCATGGGCGTCTGCGGCGAGACGCGTATCGCCAACAAACGCCAATCCTGGGTCACCGCCATCCAAGTATTCGAATACTTTATCTCCCACCACCTCGTCAAGGCTTTCGAATCCGTCTTTGGAGGTGTGACGTGTCTTCCCGGGTGCTTTTCGATGTACCGGATCAAGGCGAGGAGGGAGGAGGATAATGATTGGGTGCCGATCTTGGTCAAGCCCGAGATTGTGAATGAGTATTCGCAATGCGAGGTCGAAACCCTGCACGAAAAGAACCTCCTGCTCCTGGGCGAAGACCGTTTCCTCTCCACCATCATGCTCCGCACCTTCCCCCGGCGCAAAAACATGTTTCTCCCCCAGGCCCGCTGCCGCACCGTCGCCCCCGATACCTTCTCCGTCCTCCTCTCCCAGCGTCGACGGTGGATCAACTCGACGGTGCACAACTTGATGGAGCTCGTCCGCGTGAGGAACCTGTGCGGGACGTTTTGCTTTTCGATGCAGTTTGTCATCTTTATGGACCTCGTCGGCACGGTCGTCTTGCCCGTCGCCATCTGCCTTACGATAGCGCTCATCGTCAGCTCGATCATCACCCCGCCCACGAGCTTTGAAGAGGCGATCCCGTTGTTGCTGTTGGCGGTCGTATTGGGTCTGCCGGCGATTTTGATATTGATCACGACGCGAAAGGTGATTTATGTGGCTTGGATGTTGGTGTATCTGCTGGCGCTGCCTATATGGAATTTCGTCTTGCCCGTCTATTCGTTCTGGCATTTCGACGACTTTTCTTGGGGTGAAACTCGGTACGTCCCTTTCTTACTCTATCTTGAGGCTGTACTGACGCTTTGAGTAGAAAAGTCGAAGGCGAAACGGTCGGCAAAGGCCACGACGACAGCACCGCCGTATTCATGGGCACCACCATCCCCCTCCGTCGCTGGGAAGACTGGGAGAAATCGCGGCTCCGAAAAATCCGCCGAGAAGAGAAACGGAGGAGGGATATGGAACGGCAATTCGGCGCAGGCTTCCACGGCGGTCCGAAATCGCCCAACGGCAACGCGCCCAACGGCGGCGGCGGCGGAGGCGGAGGGGGAGGGCTTGGGGCGAATCTGGGTGTGGGAGGGCCAAAGGCGTGGACGAGGAGCGAGTATGATAGCGATAGTGGGAGTGTGTTTAGTAGCGAGGAAGATATGTGGGGAGGGGAAGTTGGTGGGGTACGTCGTCGCTTCCTTTTTTTTTTTTTCTTCTCGGGAGGAGATACTGACTCTGCGCGTAGTATAACGAAAACAACCCGTCTTTCCCCCCACCGCCTATCGCGCTTCCTCCCAATAGCCCAGCTGCCGGTCCCGGCGAGACGATCGGCATGGACGAAATGGCCGCCATGCTCGACTCTGGCTTTGACGATACCGCCGCCCCTCCCCCCCGCACCCTCCGCCCGCTCAAGAACCCCACTTCCCCTCTCCACCGCCACCAACACGACTTCAACACTCCTCCCGCTGCTCAAATGCGATTCAACCTCTCCGACACGCAGCCTGGGTCGTATGTCTCGATAGACAGGCAAGGCGAGGAAGGGGAGGGGCAGATGCCGGTCAGTGGGGGGAGTGTGAGTTCGAGTGTGGAGAGTCGGCCGCAGGGAGGAGGGCATGCGAAGAAGAGGAGCGGGGGGGCTGGGAAGGGGTATGGGCCGTTGGGACCGTTGGACGAGAGGAGCTACCCCGGAGGTAGGGGGAGATAGGGGGCTGGGAAGGGGTATGGGCCGTTGGGACCGTTGGACGAGAGGAGCTACCCCGGAGGTAGGGGGAGATAGTGGATGCGCATGAGATTCAAGGGAGAGGAAGCCGATATACGAGGTCTTCCAGTAATACATATTTGTTCCATAGCCAGCCTTCGAGCTCTTGTCATTCTTTTCTACTTTATCGTCTCTCTTCTTTCGACTTTTCTAGCATTTTACATATACATAGAGGTTTGTGTGGTATACGATTTCTTTTCTTTATCATGTGTAGGCATTGTTTTGTGGTACACGTAGTCCAACCATGGCATATATCATCTGCATCTCTTCTGGGCTATCGCTTCTGGGTCACCATCGAGCAACAGTACAAGTGTTGATAGGGGGCAATAGCGTGATACGATAGAGAGGAGACAAGACGACAAACATGCTCTCGGCGCTCCGAGGGATGTGATGCGGGCTGATAAGGCGGCGTCGAGGAGGGATCGTATGCGAGCCTTGGCAAGCACTCTGGATAGGATGGTGTCATGTAAGGGATTACGTGCAAACATGACGCTATATAGACTTATCTCGGCATCTAGGGGGAGGAAGAGACCGAAGAAGGAGAAGTGCGATGGCACCATATTTCGGCTATCCCCGACTGCCATTATATATATAATGCTATGGCCGCCCTCGTTCGCACCCTATCCCACCATGGCTAAAGGCGCCATCTTCCTCCCCACCACCACCCCCGCTTCCGCCCAGCCCAGGCCAAAAGCCGCGAAATGGCCTCTCCTCCTCACATTCACCATCCTCGCCTCCCTCCTCCTTACCTCCCGCCCCTTCTCGTCCACAGCCATCCTCAAGACGCTGGGCGTACACAAGTCGGAGCCTGCGAGGAGAGAGGATCTATGCAAGCAGGCAGAGCCGACTGTGCCGAAGGGATACAACACCTCGGCCATTCTGGAGGATCGCGAAAAGATCATCGACAGACTCATCGGAGCTGTGCGTAGCTAGCCTTCTCTCCTTGGTGTCGCTATACTGACTCCTTGTTAGGTGCAAATCGGTACAGAGACTTTTGACGACCTCGGCAAGTATGGCGAGGATACTCGATGGGACGGCTTTCCCAAATTGCACAGGTGTACGTTTCTCTTACGCCTTGTCCGTTTCCTGTTGATGAGATCTCTAGACCTAGAGGAGCAATTCCCTCTCGTACACAGCAAGCTCCTCGTGACCAAGCCCGACCCCGGCCTCGCTCTCATCTACGAGTGGAAAGGCTCGGACGATGATCTGAAACCCGTCCTTATCACCGCCCATCAAGGTACCCTCCCTTCTCTCTTCGTCGACCAGTACTGACACCAAAGATCAGATACTGTACCCGTACTCCCCGCCTCCCTCGACCAGTGGCTCCACCCTCCATTCTCTGGTCATTTCGACGGAGAATTCATTTGGGGCCGCGGCGCTACCGATACCAAATCCAGCCTTATCGCTATCCTCAGCACTCTCGAGCACCTCCTCCAGGTGGGATTCAAGCCCGAGAGGACGATCATCGTTGGGTTTGGAAATGATGAAGAGGTCGGAGGACCTTATGGCGCGGTGTTGATTAGCAAATACATTGGAGAAAAGTACGGTAAAGATTCGCTCGCCATGTACGTACCTCTCTCTCTCTCCCCCGCGCGTACTGACAGCGATATAGCCTCATCGACGAAGGCAACGGACTCATCTCATCCTACGGCCAAAATTTTGCCACCCCCGCCGTCACCGAGAAAGGCAGCACCAACATCCAACTCACCGTCAAAACCCTCGGCGGTCACTCATCCGTCCCTCCCCCACACACCGCTATCGGTCTTCTCTCTCTCGCCATCGCCGAGATCGAAGCGCACCCTCACGGACTCTCTCTCCCCACTTACTCGGCTATCTACGGCTTCTTGGAGTGTGCGGCGGGGCATGCTGGGGATTTGCCGGAGGGGTTTAGAAAGTCGGTTTTACGAGCTGCTGGGGGCGATGAGAAGGCGTTGAAGAGGTTGCCGGAAGCGTTTGTTGAAGTAGGCTTTGATGGCGTCCCCGCTGGCCCGGGTCAGGGTAACGTCCTGCGTGCTCTGCTTGGTACGACACAGGCTACCGATATCATCAACGGCGGCGTCAAAGTCAACGCTCTTGTACGTCTCCGTCCTTTCCCTTCTTCGTGTTCGAAAGCTTACATCAAACATAGCCCGAAGTCGTCTCCGCCAAGATCAACCACCGTATCAACATCGACTCCAACTCTTCCGCCGTCACCTCCCGCCTCCTACACCTCCTCGCTCCTCTCGCCCAAACATACAACCTCTCCCTCTCCCTCAACTCTTCTTCTTCCTCCATCTCCCCCCTCAAGCCTGTCGTGAAAGGCGGTGCTGGCGAAATCATCCTCGACGACGGAGGGCGTATCGGCGAAGCCGCCCCCATCTCGCCTTTCGACATCAACAACGGCGTCTGGGACGTATTCGCCGGGACTGCGAGGGGTGTATGGGCTTCGAGGAAGGAAGTGAGCGAGGATGGGTCGGTTGTAGAGCTCGGGGCTGGGGATGATCTTGTGGTTACGCCTTTCTTGCCCCTTGGCGTGAGTACTTTCACTTTACACGGGTTTGGTGGAAGCTGATGAAGAGGTAGAATACCGATACGCGACATTATTGGGACTACACCGATAACATCTACAGGTTCATCTACCGTCCATCCGCCGGCGCTTTGGGGGCTCATACTATCAACGAGCGAGTTGTACGTCATCTTCTTCTTCTTCCCCTCTTCGTACCCCACTCCGCCTTCTCCGCTTCCTTTCGTTCGTATTGAATGAAGAGCTCACCTGACGTTGTTGATAGAACGCCAAAGATCTCGTCGAGCTTGTGCGATTCTATACGACGCTCTTGCTCAACTTTGATGCTGCCAAGGACGTCTCGAGAAAGTAGACTAATCGAGTGCATTCGGGCGGGCCTCGGGGGCTAGTTTGGTGAACAATTGGTATAGACGGTTTCGTGATATTCTAGATGGATGACTTGGTATATAGTATAGAATGCAGAGATATGAAGACATTGGCGCGAGAGAGAAGGATATGGATGTGCATCGTTGCATTGTTACTCGTCTACAGTTCAAAACAACAAGTGAGTTCGCTGATCACACAAAAGACGCAGATCGTTATCAAGCATCCAACACATCACATTCATATACACAGACACGTTATAAGTCTACCAATGCTCATGATACAGAGTCCTTGTTCTGATCTACAACGAATTATGTCTTCGTCGATTGTCACCTGCAAAGCTAGAGGGAGGACCGGAGCCTACGATAGAAAGTTGATTATCAGTAATGATTCGCGAGATGGGCTGACAGCTACTCACCTTCCCAAACAGAGCTTGAAGCTGCTTCGCTTGTAGTAGGTGAAGCCGCACTATCATCAGAGGAAGTGGCAGACGTCTCGGCTGGGAGACTGCTCGAGTCCATTTCGGAAGAGGTGCTTCCTGCGGCGACATCTGACGTAGCTTCGGACGTGCTTGCAGAGTCTGTAGCACTAGCAGAGCTATCGGTCGCACTGCCACACCCATCCGCGGTGATCCAAGTAGTCGACGTCATGGTGGTGGTAGTTGCAGTCTCGCGCTTGTAGTATCTCGAGAAGCCGGTGGGGAGATCACGTTCGGCAACAGTTCGAGTGCCCCCCGCGACCATATTGAAGTTTCGCTTCTCGTCGTTAGATGAGCTTGCCTTGTCGTGAACCATGTTGAAGTTTCTCTTGCCACCCGCAGAAGAGCGGTCGCCTTGCACCATGTTGACGTTTCGCTTGTCTTTCGTGGTCGTATCAGCGCCCTGGACCATGTTGAAGTTGCGTTTGTTGTTTTCAGAACCACCAACGTTGGCACCTCGGACGATACCTTCGTACTGACGCTTTCGGTTGTCGGATTCGAAACCAGCAGGGGCAGTGTTTCGAGGCTCGAATCGCTTTCTGTTATCGCCCGAGAAACCGGCAGGGGCGGTGTTACCTGTATAACGTTAGCGTCTGATATGTTATGTAGCATGGAGAGACTTACCTTCCCAAGCATAAGAAGAAGACGCGACACCACCATCCGTGCTAGTCGCAGCGTCGCTTGTTTGTCCGCTGCAATCGCAATCACCTCGCCTCATGACACCCATCTTCGATCTACGACGTCTCGAGTCGGCAGAGAATCCAGCAGGCGCGGTATTACCTTCCCAAACAGATGATGTTTCGGCACCAGCATCGCCATTCTCACCACCGCAATCGCAAGATGTGTCGCTAGACGTTGGGGTGGAAGCGTCGCTCGTGGTGGGAGTATCGGAGGTGGTGGGTGTCTCGGAAGCAGAGCCACAATCGCACCCATCTCGACGCATGATACCTCGGCGTCTTCGGCCATCGGCAGAGAAGCCAGCGGGGGCGGTGTTACCTTCCCAATTGGATGATGTTGGAGCACCAGCGTCGCTCGTTTCGCCACCACAATCACATGCGGTATCGCTCGTGGTGGGTGCTGCGGCTTCGCTCGTTGTAGGTGTATCGGAAGTAGTTGGAGCTTCGGATGTGGTGGGGGTATCGGTGGCAGACGAGCAATCACAGTCACCTCGGCGCATAATGCCTCGTCTCCTTCGGCTATCGGCAGAGAATCCAGCTGGTGCAGTATTCCCCTCCCAGTTGGATGACGTTGCCGCGCCAGCATCACTTGTCTCACCGCCACAATCGCAAGCAGTCTCCGATGTAGTTGGCATAGCAGCTTCGGATGTAGTGGGGGTATCGGTCGTGGTAGGAGCCTCAGTGGTGGAAGGAACAGCTTCAGAAGTGGAGGTGGGACAGTCGCAAGCGCCTCGCCTCATCACGCCCCTCTTTCGCTTCCGCGAATCAGCCGAGAACCCAGCAGGAGCGGTGTTACCTTCCCAGTTGGACGAAGTCTCTGCACCAGCTTCGCTCGTCTCTCCCGTCTCTCCACAATCACAAGCTTCTTCACTCGTAGTGGCAGGGGCAGACGTCGTGGTAGTAGGCGGCGCTGACGTTGTGCTAGGGGCAGCAAACGTGCTAGAGGCACAGTCACAAGCTCCTCGGCGCATAATCCCTCGACGACGCCTCCAGTCGGCAGAGAAGTCGGCGGGGGGAGTATTGCCTTCCCAGTTTGAAGATGTCGCAGCTCCAGCATCGCTAGTCTCACCAGAGTCATCGCCACAATCGCAAGCTTCCTCGCTTGTAGTGGGAGTGGCGGCATCAGAAGTAGAGCTAGCGCAGGGAGTGGTGGTGGTACTCGTAATCCATGATGTCTCTGTAACGACACCGGGCTGGGCCGAGGTGGCGGCGCAAGAGGATGCGTCTGAGCTGCTCGCACAAGAAGAAGTGGCAGAGGCAGCGGCGGTTGTAGAGGGCGTATAAGGGGGAGGCGTATAGGCAGAATCGGTAACTTGAGTGGAAGTATCGGGAGCATCGGTTGTGGGTACACTACCCCAAGAGCAGGTGGTACCGGCAGCAGCACAGCTAGAGGATAGGGATGTACAGACGGCGGGCGTTGCTTGCCCGGATGTAAAGGGCATGCAACATGATTTGAAGTCGTCTTCGCTTTGATCTAAACCGGCGCACTATAGCTTTGTCAGCTACGATTATCTCAGAGATGAGTAAGGAGGAGCTTACACCAGTGTTACAATATCGATAGTAGTAGTCGTAGGGGCTCTCGAGATACACATAGTACCAGCAGGCTCTCGCAAGCCCGAGAACGACGAGCGAGATGATGAGTTTGGAGATGGGAAGACCACGTAGCATGGCGGAGATGGCGTTATACAGCGTACGCGAGCCGGTAAGGTCTTTTCGAACGCCCTGATGAGGGTTTGGTGTTGATAAACAGGGTGAAGTCGAGGTCGATACTGCGTCGGGTTGACGCTTTGTGAGTGGGGGGTCTGCGCAGATGGAGATGAACAACGAGAAAGGTCAAAGACAAGGTACAGTTGGCTATTGGATGGTATCACGACGTCCTCCACCTTTGTCCTATCTAGCATGTAGACTCCGAAAGGAAAGGGTGCCGAACACGGGGGTCGATCACAAGGGAGTGGAAAGGACTGTAGCGGATGGATGAAATTGATGTTGTCCTTTGAGGTAAAGGGACAGATCTCTTCTATAGCCTGTGTTTCGAATGAAGAGCTTGTGAAAGGTAATTCTCGGTCTGAATGATCAACTCGGTGATGAGGAAAGGTTTTCATAGTACTACCCTGACCTCGCGACGTTCATCGTTCAACATTTTATTGCCAGGCCGTCGATGCAGCATTGAAATCTGTACCAGTCGGAATGCAGGACTGTACATGATGTATCGTCTTTGTACTATACTCGAGTATGGAATGCAGTACAGTCTTTCATGATGTAATATATACAACTTCGAGATATGCGAGATAGCTCGATCCCGCGCGCTGACCCTCACATCAAACCGCATCAAACCCCCTCCCCAGCCTCGATACTCTCCAAAACCCCCCTCACAACCTCCCAATCCCCATCCCCCTCCCCCTCAAGCCCAGTCCTCCAATTACTAACAGCCAACCTCGCCGCCCCCTTCCCCCTCCAAACCGTCTTGCTAACATACATCTTACGCGTCCCGTTGATCTTGGAAGTCAGGGTCGGCGTGGGGAGGGAATTGTGGGTGAAGAGGACTATATTGGATGGGATGATTGGCTGGGAGGAGGCGGAAGGGGATGAAGGGGTGGTGTTGATCAAGGTGTAATGGGGGGATGCGTTGATGTATTCGGCGACTTTACGGGCAAAGAGGATGTTTCGGGTGATAACCTCTATATTCGACTCATCAGAGATGAATCCCATCAGCGGGAATGATGAGAGATAAACGTACCTTCATACCCATCCCTCCCCAAGCTCAACAAACTAGCCAACAAAGGCAAAGCCCTAAACCTTCGCGAGTTTTCGATACCCACAAATAGCGGACTTGGGATATCCCCACCTGTTACTGTTCCCGCGATGGAAGGGTCTCCTTCTTGGTTTGAAGAAGAAGCTTGACCGGAGAGGTAGGCTGGAGCAGATGAAGAGGGCGGTTGGAAGACGGATGTGAGAGAGGAAGTGTGGCGGGTGTAAAAGAGACCAGCGTCGTATGGGGCTTGGAGCCATTTATGTGCTTAGGCATATGTCAGCGGGGAGAAATTGGGGGTGGATGGGGGAGGGATAGAGACGTACCGTCGAGTGTAAGAGAGTCGGCTTGATCCATGGCTTGGGTGAATCTGCGGAGTTCTGGCATAAGGCCTGCGAAGCCGCCAAAAGCTAAACGATGTCATCAGCGTACAGCTCGCCATGGGGATGAAGGAGAAGCGTACCAGCATCGACATGGAGCCAAGCACCATACTCCCTGCAGAGTTTTGCTACACCACTCAGATCACCGCCGAAAGCGCCGGTATTGACTTCTCCAACGCCATAAACCACAATAACCCCCTTTTCCCCAGGTACACTCTCAACCTTTAACCTCTCTTCTAGCTTTTCCAAGTCAAACGCAACCTCATCCCCTTCTTGAGCTGGCATCGACTGGATGACAGAAGGTCCACCGCCGAGACCGATAAAGGAGGCGGCTTTGGAGATTGAAAAGTGGGGGTGGAGGGCGAGGATCTTGATTGGGAAGGGTGAGGGAGGGGGACCGTCTTGGGAGAAAGAGTAGTTTGGAGGAAGGGTGGAGGAAGTAGAGTAGAGGTGGTTCCTTGCGCATGCTACTGATTGTTAGCATTTGTCCTGGAGCTGTGCTAGCTTGACAGACAGAGCCCGAGCATGTTTGAGGCTGTTGCACCAGTGGTAATAGTTCTCCCCATAAACGTGTCTCTCTCGATCTGAAGAAGATCCAGTACGAGCTCTAGCACTCTCTGCTCAATAGCTACGCTCGCTGTCTCTTCACCGAGGTTGACTTGGACATTTTCATCGTAACTCGTCGCTAGGATTTCGGCCAGCTGCGCAGCGGGGGTGACGCCGCCGATGACGAAACCAAAGTACCTCGGTCCATTCTGAGCTTGGAGGATACCGGAGAAGATGTTCTCGAGGAGGTGGGTGATGGTGGAGGAAGTGCCGAGACCGTTGTCGGGGAGGGATGCCGGGAGAGAGCGGAGGGTGGCTGTGATGTCGGCAGGGGTGGGGAGAGTGGGGAGGGAGTGGAGGGAGGCGTCGCGGTTCGAGATGTGGGCGAGGACAGTTTGGAGGCTGTCGCTGAATTCTCGGTGGCTCATGATGGATAGTCGATAAAGATAAGAGATAACGCAGATAAGAGATGCTTCTTTGGCCCGGGGATCCGATCAATGCGGCGAGGTCCGCCCATAGATCCGAGATCTCGGAGCTGAACAAGTTGCTCGCTGTTTGTTTTCAATCTTACTTTCCGAATAGCCTCCTACAGCTGTCCATCGCAGTTGGTCACAATTAAACCCCCCCGACATGCCTGTAGTATCATCTGACCACGTACACCCGAGCGAAGGCGCTGCCGATTCGCCAATCAAGAAATCGCGAAGAGGCAATCGGTTTCAGCCCATTGTCAGTTGCTTGGAATGTCGTAGTGAGTCGCCTTCATAAGCTGTATACTACTATCAGCCCCGGGAAACTACTGATGGTTCCGGTTCAGGGATGAAGTGGAAGTGAGCACTGGCTTCTTCGGCTTCTTACGCGTTGTGCTGATCCCGACGAACAGATGCGATAGGAACTTTCCATGTAACAACTGCAAAAAGCGAGGGCTGGAATCGTGAGCATGAGCCTCTGATATATTGAATTGTACTAACGATATATAGTATATGCCCCAATGGACAGCTCAGTGGAGCGAAGAGTACGTCGTCTCCTTCCATGTCGTTCATCGATTCCAACTGATGCAATTATCTGCCATAGGTGATCGTCAACAAGTGGTCGAAATGCAGACCCGTATCGACGAGCTTGAGCGTGAGCTCCATCTTGCTCGCCAGGCGCTACCGACTTCCTCCACCAACCGACCTCATTCTCACCCCCCAGACATCCCTATTCCCCTCCTTCCCACCTCTGCAGTACCTTCGACAAGTACCGCCACACGAATATCGCCCGAGGGACTGGGGGATGGAGCGAAAAGTGCAGGGAAAAGAGCGGATCATGGGCAATTGACGTTAGGCGAGACTCCGGGTATCTCGAGGTTCTTCGGAGGCGCTGGGACGCAGTATTTGATGGTGAGTTCATGTCTATGATCTATTGAGGACGGCTATTGATAACATGCAGCATTCTGAGGGCCATTCCAGCCCTGCATCTGCTACCGTGCCATCGCCGAGCCTCACCATGCTATCATCTTTCCTCCCAGGCGCGTCAAAGCAGCTGTCTCTTGCACAGATACAGAGCTACCTCCCAGATGCGATTACTACCGCTCACTTGTCCGGCATCTTTTTCGAGGTGGGTCTTGTCCAACCTGTATCAAAACGTGTACTGATGCGGTGGTATAGCATGGCTGTGTGAACTACGACATTATCCGAAACGACAGCTTTGAAAAGATATACCTCGCAATCTCCAACACCTCTTCCTCCTCTTCCCCCATCTCAAGCGCTCGCACCTCGAGGGGGGATGAGAATAACCAACACCTCGCCCTAGTCCTACTCGTCCTAGCCGTAGGTGCACAGATGGATACTTCTCTCCCACCATACAACGAAGTCGGGGAAGGGCTATATCATCTCGGATGTATCGCCCTCGCTCATGGTACGTTACATTTTGAACGCAACGGATAGGAACCTGATTGTGCGTCAGATGTATCGAGTAGTATAACGCTAGTCCAAGCTATCATCATCATGAGTCGATACGAAAGCAACTCGGGACGGACCGTGGCTTATGAAGCGTTTTGGCCGATTTTGGGGCTAGGGATAAGGTGTGCTCAGCAGGTGCGTATTTCCCCTCCCCTCTCCCTTCTCGGTTGTTCCTCTTTCTCCCTCAGCTGACAAAAGGAAGTAGATTGGGCTTCATAGAGATGGCAAGAACTGGGCATTATCAGACGACGAAGTAGAGCTTCGAAGAAGAGTGTATTGGGAGATGTATCAAGAGGATACGTTGCAGAGTATGTCACAGGGACGACCGAGGGGTAAGTATTTTTACAAACACAAGAGGGTGTCGCAGTTCATTTGCTGATGTTTGATCAAGGAACCAAGGAATCCACTGTAGATGTCGTCTTTCCAATGCTCGATCCGGATAGTATGACATCAATATGTGAGTGAACCGTCCCGGAACAACGACTTATGGCTTCGCGCTGACCTCTCTGATGGGGTATAGTTTCAAGATTCAAGGTACGCTGTCGCTCTCAATCACATCAACAATCCCCCAGTACTGACGTGAATGATAGTACCGCGTCTCTCTCATATTCGCCAGAATCAACTCGTTATTCAGCGACGTTAAATCAGTTTCTTTCGATCAAGTACTTGCGCTCGACAAAGCCACTCGAAGCCGTAAGTAGGCCCTGCGTTTGAGATACATGCACGGGCTGACGCGATGTATCAGTCGAATCGGAACTACCGCCCGAGCTAGTATTTGGCAGCAATCTACCCGCACATCAAGCCACTCGACGGTCACACTTCCAACAACTCCTTCTGCGGCTCTATCTTAACGAAGCGCAAGTTGTCGCTCCATCTATCCTCATTTTGGAGAGTAAAACTGACGCTACCAATATAGTATCATGTTTGTACATCGCAGCTACTTTGCGCGCGTGCTTCGCGAGTCTCAAGCCGAGCCTCTGATGTCTCCCTACAGGTATGCCATCCGTCCATCATTCTCGGTTGGTTGCTGATGCTACACGCAGCTTTAGCTACGTTGCTGAGCTCGAATCATCCAGGATCATGATCGACATCCTGAAGTCTGCTATGTACGTCTCCTTTCTCGTATCTATCACCTTTGCAAGCAAGTCAATCTGATCTGACTTGAGAATAGGGCAGTCGATCCCGATATCGCAGGACGTTACTGGATATTCTGGTTTCACGCATTCATGGCGATCCACAATTTTTCCGTCTCTGTAGTTCGATCTCCGCACAGCTCGCTTGCGCAGGCTGCTCTGGCACAAATCAAGGAAGGGGTGAATCTGTATGAGAGTGTAGGAAAAGGGTACAAGGCGTATAGTGATTTGGTGAGCTTCTCTTTTCTGAACACGTTAAGTGATGGGTTGCTGATGGAGATAGCCGATCGTGAGACAACTACTTACCCGTCAGTTATGGCTTTCTTCCTTCGATTCCATGCTAGCGAGCTGATTCACTAGATAGGAGCATCCGACGCCATCGCCTCTCCCGGTACCACCCATCGCCTTGACGCCCCCTTCCCCGCCGACTTGCTCGGCGTCGGCACCACGCTCCGAAGAGCAAAAGATCAACCCCTCCCGTCACTATCCACATCCACATCAAATACCCGATCTCTTCTTCCCGATTTAGAGACCTTCCCAACGACAATCGCTGATGCAATCGCTTATCAAAACAGTCTTCTTCCCACGCCCGCAGACCCTACTTTGGCATCGTCTTTATCTCGTCCTCTTGAGGCAAGCGGCGTAGCGGAAGGGTCGTCCCTCGGACATGAAGAGAACAGCGATTGGCCATCGTGGGGTGACGGGAGTGTTGTTGGGGAGAATGAGGGTAGTTTGGAGTACGACTTTGATGCTTGTTAGTCGTTCACACGTCCTAGAAAGAGAGTACGCTGACGACGCATATAGTTTTGGCTAGTATAATCGGTGTTGATCCTATTTCGCTCGCTGGTTTGGTCTATGACGAGTAGTGTTCTTCCATATCCATGTTCAGAAAGAATGCACCCATAACGTATACATTCGAAAGAGCCGTAGAACCGTAAAGTGGTGGTATCACATTCAAGTACAGCACATGCCGATCAAGACTAGCATCCCGTTCCATACAACAATAATCTCTTCCACTTCATCGCTCGTACCGATACAGAGGCGACAAATCTCCCATCTCCTGCAGCTCCTCCGCTGTATACTTTTCATAGATCTCTTCTTCGCTCATCTTGTCTCTCTTGCCGTTGATGTGGCCGATAAGGAACCAGTACAAGATGGGAGTAACGATATTGCCGAGACCAAGGAAGGCGAGGGAGACACCGAAGCCGGTGTGGTAGGCGGCTGTTGTTTGTGTCAGAACTAAAAAATGCGGAGGAGGGGGATATAAAAAGAGGTACGTACGAGATTCGTTCGCCAGATAGATATTAGACCCAACCAAACCGCCCAATTGCACCCAAACAACAGCTACACTGATCGCGACAGCCCTCTTTCCTGAGCCAGCAGCATTGAGACTTGTCCAGACACTAAACGCGGGGGAAAGACAGACCGATCCGCCTTGAGCCAGGCAGACACCAACGTCTAAGAATCATCAGTAAGTGTGATGAGGGAGAGAGTCGGGGGACGTACAAGTCAGCGCAACAAGGTGTTTGTGGGTGACAGATAATACGCAGATAAGGAGACCGATAAAGCCCATGAGTGCGGGAAGGACAGTAGCCAAAGCTCTCGTCTTATACTTGTCCGAAAACCCTATATTTTAGTCAGCTATGCTTTCTATATCAACGCATCTACTCACATCCAGAAGCGACGACACAGAAAGTTGCAAAAACGTAAGGGGGCGCGGAGAGAGCTTGCGAATCGGCGGCGGTAAATCCCATGTTGTTCATGATGGTGGGGATGGTGAAGGAGAGGCCGTACACCCAGCATCCGACACAGAAGTAGCCGAAGGAGAGGATCCAGACGTGGATAGACTACATTATTGTCAAAGCTATGTCGTACAGGCAAGCTGTAACTCACGGTCAAGGCAGCGAGCACGTCCTTCTTGTTGAGCGTATCAGCGCTCCCACCCTTGTCTTTCCCATACGCAAACTTGTTTCTCAATACCAAAAACCTCCTCTCCTGATCGTCCAGCCATCCTCCTTGCTTCGCTGGAGTCTCTTGCAAGACAAAGTACGCGCCCACTGCCACGCACGTCGAGAATACACCTTCGATGATGTAGATAAACCGCCACCCACGATACCCCCAGGTATAGTCGAGCTGACCGATACCGTAAGCGAGTAGACCGGAGAAGGCTCCGGCAAGACAAGCACCGCAGTAGAAGATGGTATGTCGGCTGTGGATTTGGTCGGGGGTATACCAGGTAGTGAGAACCCAAGCACAGCCGGGGTACATGCCGGCTTCGAAAAGACCCAGAACTGTGCAGAGTATCAGATCATGAATGCCTCTAAAGTGATTGGACTGACGCAATCGAAGAGGGAACCATGAGGCGATACTCCCGGAGCAGCCGGAGCAGATGAGGATGAGCGAGACGCCCAACAGAACACCCGAGAGTACAAGCTTTGGACCTAGTTTCTTCAAAAGAATGGAGCAGGGAGGACCCGCGAAAGCGTACGTGATGACTGCATCAAGGTCAGGCCACGAAGGATTAAGCGGAGGGAAGATGTGACGTACAAAAGAGCGAAAGTCCCAGATTCCACATCTTCGAGTCCATTTTCATGTCTTGCATAGCGCCGAACAGTTTGGCATTTCCGACGTTGCCTCGGTCTGGTAGCACACGAGCGTCAGCTACCTTGGTTCTCAAAGGATAAGGGGGCACGTACCGATATAAGATAGGAGGTAGATGAACACAAGCTGAGGCAGCACATGCCAGTCGATCTTTTTCTACCATGTCATCAGTCGTCTGATCTTCTTCTTCCGCGTTCTTCGACAGATCAAAAGCGACACTCACGGTCAATTTATTCAGAGCATCTCCTTGGTATAAGTCGGACAATGCCAAAAACTCAATATACTCGGGGTTCTCCTCTGCGACGACGATGTCCTTCTCGTGCGTTGTACTCAAGTCCTTCTCGTCTTCCAGAGCGGTGGTGGTGGGGTGGCGGTCGACAGTGCTCATACTTGCCTGGCTGAGACAATAGAGTGGTGTATCGGTGGTGTGTAGCTCCAGTGATGGTGTAAGATATGTATGTGAGGAAGCAATGGGGATGATATACGGTACGGCCCCGACGAGCTGCTATTTGAGGAGTGATAGGATAGTCAGCTCCCTCTTCGCTGATAAGCATGTGTGGCAATAAGGTCAGGTGTTCCAATGGACTGAGAGATAACGACAGTATCCGGGGTAGTAGCCATCTCAAGAGTGTCTCTGGATATTGTGCCGAATCTCGAACCGGACATGCGCTTATCAGCTGACGCTGGCATTTGGTCCGCAGATCGGATCATATGTCTGCGGACCATAACGGTCGTGCATTTCATCAATCTTGCATGTGATTTGTCATACCGCTATTCAGATAATTGTATTCGCTACGTACCCAATCCGCCCTGAGCGAGTCGACGTCTGGCCGAATTCGTGTCGTCGCTCAGCTCCGAACATGCAGAGCAAATCCAATCTGCGCTATCATGCTACTTCTCCAATGGCTGGACCAAGCGTATCATCCCTTATCTATAATCACATGCAAAGCCATACCGAGGACCCGAAGCTCCGATGGCGATTTTGTAGCCGACGTGTGACAAGTCTGATTTGTTCTTTAGTCATAAGACTGGTAGCTCGCGCTTCTTTATAGTCGTCTTTCCCACTCCTTGCTTCACCCTTTTCCTTCTTATCACACAACAACACATTCGAGCTCCACAATGACTATCACCACCACCACCCCCGCTCGAAAGAAGATTACTATCCTCGGTTCCGGCGTCACCGGGCTGACCATCGCTATGGAGCTCTGCAAGTACGTCCATACTCACTCATCGGAGCCTCTCCCTTCGCGTAGCTGATTTCATCCCACCAGGGACTACGAAGTCGAGATACTTGCCCGCGACATGCCCAACGATCCCGACTCACTCGGCTGGTCTTCCCCGTGGGCGGGCGCTATCTGGTTTGGGCTCGACGGCTCCAACGCTTGGGAACAGGCAATGCAGAGAGTGAGCTATAGGAAATTCATTGCTCTCGCCGAGAAGGAGCCCGAGTCGAGCATCGTGGTACGCTCTTACTCGGACTATGCTGTCATAAGACGTTTGCTGATGGCGACTTGTAGAAGACTGGCTTTTATGACTATCAAGACAAGTATGACAAGCCGGATGAGACGCACTTGTGGTACACCGACTTGCCTGGGGTATGTTTTTGATCATAGTTGAAACACCAAGAAGATACTGACAGGTCGCTAGTTTCGATACGTTACCGGCGACGAGGACAGGACCAAGAAAGGCATTACCATGTTCTGTAAGCTCCCCTTCCTTCAAACCTCCGTGATATCTGACTAAACCTCTTGCGCAGACCAATCCATCGTTCTCAACCCTCACAAATACCTGCCCTACCTCCGCCAAAAGCTCGAATCCCAGGGTTTGACCTTCACCCGACACCACTCCTCCTCCCTCTCTTCCACTCACGCCGCTCACCCCTCCGACCTGCTTATCAATGCTACCGGCAACGGCTCCAAATTCCTCATCGACGTCAATGACCAGAACTGCGAGATGGTGCGCGGGCAGGTGATGTTGGTCAAGTGTGACGCCAAGGACGTGCACATCAGGCATGGCGACCAGTACACGTACGTGCTTCCCCGAGGGGATGGAACGGCAGTCTTGGGGGGCATCAAGGAGACTAGTCTAGAGCCAGCCCCGCAGGATTCCCTTCGTCGCGACGTAAGTGTCTCGTTGTCCAACATATGAGAGCTTGCTAAGTACATTCACAGATCCACAAGCGCTGCCACGAGCTCCTCCCCGAACACATCCCCGCCTCCTTCTCCGACCTCGAAATCATCCGCGACCAAGTCGGTTTCCGTCCCCAGCGCAACGGCTCCGTGAGGCTCGAGGCCGAGCAGAAAAAAGGGTTCAAGGTCGTGCATGCTTATGGTGCGTTTCATCTATTGTCTTGTATTCTATTCACATCTCATCAAGAGAATACTTGAGGAAGGGCGCTGATACATTGTTTGCTAGGTGTTTCGGGAGGAGGGTTCGTGTATTCGTGGGGCGTGGCGGCTGAAGTAGCCAAGGTGGTCGAAACGACTCTAACCGAGTAGAAGATACAAGTATGATTAGCGCATTCTCGAATTGTACTTGTAGAGTCATGAATAGATATCTGGAATCCCCGTGTCGAGCCAGGATTAGCTGAGTAGTAGGGACAATGCTCTTGCCATCCGATCCATCCAAATACACTCTCATAGATGTACACTGTGATAAACAAACAAGTCATCATTCCACTCAAGACTTTAGAAGACATCCTCGTCGCGATCGTCGTCCTTATGATACCAATGGGTATCGGGCATCTCATACCAATCGGTATCGCGCATCTTAAACCAATTGAAATCGCGCATACAATCTGGGTTGCCTCGAAGCATATCAAACGTGACCTCCCTCACCAGCATGCCTTCTGACCAAACTTCCATCTTTTCATGGTGAAAGTCGATGAAATATGCCCAATTAGCATCAAAAATGTGAAACACTGTAAACACCTGGTCGGCAGACTTCTTCCCATGATGACAAGCGAACTCACTTTCCTCGAGCAGGTGACTCAGCTTTCCTTGCTGGATCAATCTCAAAGACTCCACCCCCTGAGCACGGCACAATACATCGTGCCAAGTTTTCCGGTACCGACTGTAACCGTACTCTTCGAAGTCTTTCAAATAGACTTCTCGTCGCTTGTCCAGCTCCCGTGCCGCTTCAGCTTCTTCACGTTGAATAATCTTTCCCAGATGGTCTTTATATAACCAGAATTGCGGTCCGACATGCGGAAATTCATATTTCCAAGACCCGTCGAATGCGAGGTAGCGCTCCTTGATCTCATCCGAGACACAATCTTTACGATTCTCCCCTTCAATCCACTAATACACGCCTCGTTAGTCACAAAGCCTTGAAAAACATCATGAATTCTCTCACTGTGATTTTCTCAACCAGATCAGCCATTTCGAGACTTATTGCTCGGGAGAAAGGCCGATGATGAACCGGGCAATTTGGTGGCCTATCGATGCAGGCTCCGAGTCGAAATGTTTCCGTGCGGCTTTGCGGTGCTTGTTGCGGAGGATGAAGCCGATAAGACCGCTGTATCCCATTGTGCCGTTTAGTATATATAAGAGACCAAATGCTGGAAACAAAAGTGTCTTACCCGCCGGGCCAGCGCCGGGCTCCCAGCGGCGGGCGGCGATCGCCTCCTCGGCTTCCCGCTGCTCTTCGCACTCATTCTGTACTTTTGTCGCGACTTTCTTTTCCATCGTTTCTCCATTCAAGTTATTGTTCTCTCAACCATGGCTGGCTTTCGAGACCTCAAGAACGCCCGCCAATCGCGACACAAAACATCCTACGGCATCTCCAGCTCCACCCCAAAAGCTCCCATCTCTCCGCCCTCACAACAATCAGAAGAGACTACACAAGATCCCATCGACGCTTCCACTCTGACACCTTCCCGCCTCAAACCAACCTCCGAGTCAACAAGTGCATCTACAAAGACCGAGATACCCAAGATGGCGGAGGGAAAGAAGAGCGAGATATCAAGCTTGTACGCCGACGAGCTGAAGAATGCGAGTCTGGAGGTATGGGATATCCCCGGGCGGGGAAGAGGTCTTGTCGCTGGGAAAAAGTTCAAACCGGGTTCGTCCACCTCCATTGCTCTCCCTCTCTTGGTCCTCCATCAGAAGGTAGTACTGATACAAAAAGAACAGGCTCCCGGATCCTCAAAACGCCCACAGCAACCTCCGTACTCTCCACCCCCCACCTCACCACAACCTGCCACGGCTGCTTCCTCACCCCTTCCGAAAAAAAAATCATTCTAGCTTCTTCTGGAAAAGGTATCGACAGCGCTGGCGCAAACGTAAAATTGAATCGATGTAGCGGTTGTAAAACCCTGCATTACTGCTCACGCGTACGTCCCCTTCCCTATCTCTCCACCTTGAAAAGTGAAAGACGAAAGCTGATGGACAAGATAGGAATGCCAACTAACAGACTGGCCCTCACACAAATCCGAATGCAAAGCCCTCTCCCGCCTACGCACCATGTACCACCTCACCTACCCCTCCCGCCAATCCGACGCGTCCGACGTCAGATGGGCCGGCGCCGACGCCATCCGCGCTCTGGGCCGTATATGCTGGACCCGAAGATCCAAACTCGTCGAGAGGGATGGCGGTGATTGGTGGACCCGCCTCGAGGGGATGGAGAGCCGTACGTCGCCTCTACATCTACCTTGAGGAGAAAGCTGATTCTGAGGGCAAGATGTCAAGCAGATGCAACCAGAAGAAGCTATGAAGCTCGGCAACCAAACCCAACATCTCGCACACTACCTCTCCGCCTCCGACCCTCTCCAACCCGACTCTGATCCCTCATTACTCGAACCCGCCGATATGCAGACGTACGGCTTCAACTCTGTCGCTGAAGTCATACACCTCTGTTCTGCCGTACGTCCTTCTCCTCCCCATGCTTTTCTTCAAGTCAGCTGATGGAACATGGGATAGATGAAAGTAAACGCCTTCACCCTAACATCCCCCTCCCTCACCCCTATCGGCATATCCATCTCCCCCCTCCTCGCGCTCGCCAACCATTCTTGCGCCCCCAACGCCGTCGCCGTCTTTCCCCGCGGCGGGGGCGAGATCGACTTGGTTGCTATTTCTGATATCGCCCCTGGTTCTGAGGTATGTCCCCTCTCTTTCAATAAAAAGAAGAGAAGCTGACAAGAAGAACAGATAGTAACATCCTACATAGACGTCTCAACGCCGTACCACCAGCGCCAACCCGAACTGCTCGACCGCTACCGTTTCGCCTGTCACTGTTCTCTATGCCAGCTCTCCGAACGCCGGGAAGGAGGAGGAGGAGGGGATGAAGAATGGGTGGACCCTCGGTGGTGTGTCTGGCACCCTGGGTGCGGGAAGAAAGGTATTGGGAGGATACCTCGTAGGTCCCCTTCCATCTCCACCCTCTTCCTTCTTCTTGCGTCCATGTATTTGGAAATCCGGCTGATGTGCTATCAGCGATAACGTCCACCGGCAAAGTCGGGACAAAGTGCAACAGCTGTGGGGACAAGTTTGACGTCGATAATGACGCGCTGAAAGCGCTGATACAGCAGGGGTACGAGCTGTTGGAGAAGGAAGAGAATGGCACACTCGGTACGTCTCCTCCCCTTCCTCTCCTCTCTCCCCTTCTCTCTCCCCTTCTCTCTCCCCTTCTTTCTAACTTCCTACCAGACCCGTCCCCCGCCCTCCAAACCCTCTCAACCCTCCTTCCCCAACTCCTCTCCCTCTCCCCACCATCATCCCACCCCCTCCTCGCCCTCCTCCACCTCTCAGCCCTCCTCCTCTCTCCCCCAAAATCCCCCTCCTCCCTAAGCCTGGCAACCCAACACCTCGCCCTAGCTTCTTCCGCCTCCTTCCTCTCCCTCCCCCCCAACCACCCCTCCACAGCAGTGACCCTAGCGAAATGGGGCAAACTCCTCTCCCTCGACCAAGTGCGCCTTCCCTCAGAAGGGCCCGAGGGCGCAGAGATGCTCGTCAAACGCCTCGAAATGGCAACGGTCGTTCTGCGCAAGGCTCTGACCGCCGCCGAGCTTGGGTTTGGAGCGGAGGGAGGCGTGGTGGGGTTGGAGATGGATGGTCTGGTCAAGGGGTGTGAAGGCGAGTTGGGAGTTTATAGAGCGAAGAAGAGGGGGTTGGTCTAGCTTGTCCGTAAAGTATGGACTTTTTTCACCGGCGACGGCGCTATACAAGAATTGTTGCATAATCATATTGCTTCCAACTACATTCTTTCCTTTCATTCGGTTCATGACTCTATACAACTCTCGCCCAGTACGTCGTGCGTATGTGTACAAGAAGGGGGTGTAGATCCATCTACTGGGTGTGGACTTTCTGGTCAAGCTCTGCCATTGAAAACCGTATCAGCGTTCCACCCTCAACGCACCTGAAAGGATCTGAAAGGATCTGAAAGGAAGTGAAAAGAAAAGATGGAAGGAAGGAAGGGATGATCGTACTCACCGACGTGCTGCACGACATCATGCGATCCACCCCCGAAGCTAGACTCGAGCGACGAAAAGTCGTCCTTGGGGTACGACACCGTGATGAACGGGAAGACTGTACTCGTACACTGATTAGCTCTCGTTCTTACCCTTCCCCCCTAGCCTATTTGATTTGATATGAGAGGGGGACATACTCGTAGAGTCGGCGTTCTCGTCCGAGACGATCTTGGCGCCTGGCGGGGAGTGTCAGCATAGAACACGAGGTAGACCTGGAGGCGGGCCCGAGGTAATAAGGCGGACGTACCCTTGGAGGTGAGCTCGGAGATGGCCTTCTTACGGTCTTCAGGGGAAGAAGCCTTCTTGAACTGGACAATGACTAGACTGGATGTCAGCGATACACGAGCGGGAGTAACACGGCAGGTGGCAAGACTGACCGGTGTGGTCGGCCATGGTGTTTACTGCGAGCTGGGCTGTGGGTGCTGTGATGTACGAGTACGCTGCGAAGGATGCGGTGGCGAGGAATAACAAGCCGAGGACTGATTTCAGGTTGATGTTCATATTCACGAGCAAATCACGAGTAGTGTGCGCGATGGCGTTTGTACCCGCGAGGTGGTGACGTCAAGCTGCGGCTGCCTCCACCGGCGGGTCCCACCTCGGGCATCGCCTGGCCACCGTAACAAGGTTCGTTGGAGATCCACGCAGGCAGTATATATATAGGGCCATCCTAACCCCTGACCCCTGACCCCCCAGTACGCAACATGTCGCCCATTGCCCCCCGCCGCCGCCTCAGCGCCCAGTCCACCCGCACCCCCACCCACATCCAAGACGCATTCATCGGCGTCGGCCTCCGTCTCGGGCCCCAGCCACCCTACGACCCGGCCACGCAGCAGGACCCCGGCAGGGACCTCGAGCACTCGGCGGTGATACACGATGGCACGGGGGTGATTGATAGTGAGACGTTTCATACAGTGTTTTATACGGAGGGGAAGGATGAGGCGGGGTTGGCGGAGGAGACGAAGAGGACGATGAGGGAGATGTTGGGGGTGTTGAGGGCGGTGCAGACGCAGAGGAAGATTAATGTGAGTACTGGGCGATTCAACGGCGGAGGGATCGATTCTACACCGGTCAACTCCGCAACACGCTGACACCACACAGATCCGGATGATCGCCCTCGCGGAGCCCGTGCCCTCGGAACTCCGATCCCAAAAAGGTGTCGAATTCTACCCCACGCTCTGGCTCCACCTCGACGCCATCCCTCTCCTGTCCAACCCGTCCACGTCCATATTCACAAAGCTGCCGGCGCCGAGTACCGTCGCGAGTGCTACTGCTGCTATCAGTGCTGGCGTCAAGCTGCTTCATCCTGCAAGTCCCTTTCGTACAAGCTCAATCAAAAGCTGACGTTAGCCAGGCGACGCACTCTGCCACTACTGCCGGCGTGGACCCAACCGACCACCATGTCCAAGTGGACGCCGACGGCCAGATCAAACTCTGCTCGATCGTCCAATATCAACAATCCTCTTCCGAGCCCGTACGTCCTTCCCTCCCTCCCCAGTACCTCATCCAACACCAGCAATAGCTCTGGAAACGTTTCCTCTCCCTCTCCTCCCACCTCACCACCCACAACACCTCCATCGCCTTCTTCTCCGCCACCCCCCAAGGCGGCGGCGTAGCCCTCATGCGCCACGCACTCATCCGTCTCTGGCGCATGGTAGGCCTCGACGTCAAGTGGTTTGTCCCCGAAGGCCACCCGACTGTATTTGACATTACCAAGACCAAGTTTCATAATGTCTTGCAGGGGGTAAGCCCCGAGGGGGTGGAGATTAATGGAGAGGACAAAAAGTGGTTTGAGCTTTGGACCGAGCAGAATTGTACGTCCTTCTTCCATCTCTTCTTCAACTGCTGATGATGGTATAGACGAGTCATTCTGGTCGAGCGGTGCCCTGGACGCAAGCGTCATCGTCATCGACGACCCCCAACGTACGCCCTCCCTCTCTTCCATGTCCAACTGCTGACATGCACATAGTCACCGCCCTCATTCCAATCATCCGCAAATACCGACCGGATGCCAAAATCATATTCCGCTCCCACATCCAGATCCAATCCGACCTCACCGACGACCCGTCCACCGTCCAAGCTAGGACATGGGACTATATCTACAGCTTTGTGAAAGACGTCGACTTGTTCCTCGCCGTACGCTCCCCCCTCCCTCCCTCCCTGCCCTTCTCCCATGCTAAGGATGATTGTAGCACCCGGTGAGATTCTTCGTACCCAAAAACGTACTCTCCAACCTCCCCGTCCTCTACATGGCACCCTCCACCGACCCCCTCGACGGGCTCAACAAACCCTTCGGCCGCGCTTCTGTCCGATACTACCGCCAATACTTTAACAGCCTCAGCGAAGCCCAGTGCGGGGTCAAGATCGATTGGGATAGGGGATATATCTGTCAGATCGCGCGATTCGATCCTTCCAAAGGTCCCCCCCCCCTTCCCCTTCCCTTTCATTTTTCCCAACGCTGACCTTGTCATAGGGATTGACATTCTACTCCAAGCCTACCTCGAATTCCGCCAAAAACTCGACCGATCCCCCAACCCACCCCTCGACGGCGGGCCCCAACTCATCATCATGGGCCACGGCTCCATCGACGATCCGGATGGGACGTGGATATACGAAAAGCTGCATGATACGCTCAATACCCCAGCGTATGAGCTTGTGCATGGGGATGTTGCTATCGTTCGTGCACCGCCTGTAAGTCTTTTGGTCGGTCTCGAAAGTGGAAGGAGAAGGAGAATGGGAGAAAGGCTGATTTGGGAATGGGAATAGAGCGATGCGTTGCTGGGATGTATTCTGCAGGGTGCGTGGGTCGCTACTCAGCTCTCCACCCGTGAAGGTTTCGAAGTCAAAGTCACCGAAGTGAGCCCCCCCCCCCCTTCTTTCTTTTCTTTTCATTATCCCAAGGCAAGCAAAGCTGATACTGTATGATGAAAAAAGGCAATCAACAAAGGCGTCCCAATCATCGCCTCGGACGCAGGCGGTATTCCCCTCCAAGTCAAACCCAACAAGAACGGCTGGATCGTACCCTCTGGCTCATCCGCCCCCGTCGCAGACACCTTGTTCAAGATCTACACCGGCGAGCTCCGCGTCCACCGCGACATCTCCGCCTCCTCCCCTTCCCCTTCCTCCAACGAAAACGGCAAGGGCGGAAACAGAGGACAAGACGGCAAGTCGAACCCAAACAGTATCGCCCAAGCCTGGGTCGGCAATTTCGACCAAGCGGCCAGAAAGGTGCATGATGATGATGGGGCGACGAGTGAAGATTTCTGGACGGTGGGCAATGCGGTGAGGTGGATGTTGCTCTTTGACCGCTTGCTCGGCTTGCCCTTGCCTAAGCCTAAGCCTGAAGAAGGGGAGGCAGAGGGGAGGGAGGTGTTGGAGAAGATGGGCGTTGGGAAGGGGTTGGTGAAGAAGGGCGAGGAGGGTGGGAATGTTTGGAAGATGGTTATGGGGGATGATATGGTGGAGGGAGAGGGGGAGCTTATCTAGTGCTTGTTTGTGTAAATATCTTCATCTTGTACAGTCGGTAAAGAAAATATATGTTGAAAAGAAAAGAAGAATTTGTAGAAACGTTTGATTTAGAACCAGACAGATGCCACTGCTCAAGTCTTGTCTTCTCGTCTCGACCAGGATACTTTATACGGTACCTCCCGCGCTAGAGATCCAGAATATCCTCTACATTCTCCCAGAGAAGAGGCGAGGGGCGACAATTCTCATACCAAATCGATGCGCAGTACTGCTGCTGCATAACTCAACATGTCGTCAGAGGCGAACTGCGCTCCTTTGAAACGTCTTCAAGAGCGACTCGTATCGATCACACACTCATGTCTCAAATTTCCCATCCTCATATGAAAAGGAAACAAGACGCCACCTTCTCACGTAAAGCCTTCCAAGTGCCAACTGTCCCCCTTTCATATAATCTCAGTAGAGGCTAAACGGCGAATTTATTCCACATCCATTCATGAGGCAGCAAATCCACCGACACGGCATCCAGCCCAGTGGTCATCTACTGTGCAAATTACAATGGCTCGTTTCACGAGCTCGTCCATATGCCATTATCATGGGGAAAAGAACGGGCTGATGTGAATTGGGCTCCCAAAATCGTGGGACCATAGCAGCGGCGTTATGCTCTGTCCGTCTTCCGCTCATGAATATCGCTTACTCAGCATTGCATGACGAGCTATGAGGAGACTACTATATAACCCCCCTGACAGTACAATGCATGTCATACAGTATTCGCAAGTAAACATACAGTGAACAGATCAAAATGAGCAACATCGACCCTCTCGACTACGAACATCCCCCTTCCGAGGACCAAATGACCTGGGACGCAGAGCAGCAGAACGCTGCTTCTCAGCAACAAAGCTACGCCCAAACCTCCCAGGCCTGTCGAAGACTGGTATACAGTCTTTAGCACTTCAACACCTGGTAAGATGAATGCATTACGTACCTGGTATACAGTCTTTAGCACTTCTACACCTGGTAAGATGAAGAAGCAGAACTGTACACCAGCTATGGAAGAAAGTACCGCCAGCCAACAATTTCGTCTAGAATAGTTCCGTCACCTTACGTAAACTCGCGCGCCACTCTACGTACTGAACTCCAACTCCAACAAGGCCGACGCCACAGTTGCTAGCAGCAACAACAACGGCACTACCGGAGGAGCCGGTTCAGCATCTCAAACGGGTTCGACTCACTCGGGCGGTGGTAAGAGCAACTCTTCCTCGTAAGTGTCATCTCATCTTGATTTACTTATTCAGGGATGCCCGAGTCTCCTCGAAATGTCACTGACTGACGTATGTATGGGATACACAGGAAGAAGAAGCGAAGACACAGGCCATACTTTAGCGGCCCTGGTCAGGCGAGTAAGTTTCTCGCACCAATGAACACAATGTCTTCTCAAATCATAGTACTGACGCCGCCTTACCCCACTTTTCTTCTCTTGCAGCTCACCGAAAGTAGATAGCCATGACAAAGCCCATTACTGGGGCGCATACTTGATGTAGACCATGAAGACAGGAAACCCTACAAATCTCACTTCGTCGCGTTTGCTATCATACATAACTGAACGTCTTCCCTTGTTTATCGGCGCATCAGTTATTTCGTGATAGATCACACATATACATTCTCAGTATGGTAGACTATATACATTTCCCGGAAATGCTTGACAGAAAGGCAAAGACCTCTATACAATGAGGACAACTATAAGTCGAGCCAAGATACCCCAAGATAAAACCCAGATAATCACCTCCACAATCCTACACTCTCCACTTCGCATAAACCTCCTCCTCCGACAACTTCTCCCTCTGCTTGTTGACATATCCGACGTAGAAGTAGTACAGCGAAGGAACGAGGATGTTGCCGAAGCCGACAAAGGCGAGACATGTACCGAAACCGGTATGGTAGGCAGCTATTTGAGATTGTCAGCTCGTTTCCCCATGAAGGAGAATGCAACACCCACGCGATTCTTTCGCCATGAAGATGTTACTGCCCGCAACACCTCCAATCTGCGCCCAAAGCACACTGATACTAATCGCTACCGCCCTCTTTCCAGTTCCGGCGCTGTTCAATCCTGCCCACGCAGAGTACGCTGGCGTAAGACAGTACGCACCACCGGCGGCTAGGCATACGCCGATGTCTATCCAGAAGGTCAGCTTGGGACTTCCAGAAGGGAAGAAGGAGGGGTCGGACGTACAAGCGAGAGCGACTAGGTGTTTGTGCGTAACCGTCAAGACGCAAATGAGGAGACCGGCGAAAGCGACCACGGAAGGAATGACAGTCGACAACGTCCTCTGCTTATACTTGTCCGAGTACCCTATTCCCCAATCATTCTGTAAGTTTCACCGACAAATCACACATGTACTCACAGCCTGACGCGAGGACACAGAGAGACGCAAAAACGTAAGGAGGGGTTGACATCGCTTGAGAAGTAGCAGCGGTGAAACCCATGTTGTTCATGATAGTAGGGAGGGTGAACGAGAGACCGTAGACAGCGACACCGACGGCGAGATAGGCAATGGACATGGCCCAGACGTGAATAGACTATCACCCATATCAGTATCTCGCCCGCAGAGGAAAGTGGGGAGAGGGAGGTACATACCTTGAGCGCTGCGATGACATCCTTCTTCTGGAGCTTGTCCGAGTTACCACTCTTGTCGCTACCGTAGGTGTACCTGTTCCTCAACACCAAGAACCTCCTCTCCTCCTCGCCCAACCATCCTCCTTGCTTATCCGGGCTCTTCTGCAAGAAAAAATACGCCCCAATGCCAATCTACTTTTCTCTACCCTCCGTATCAGCTGCATTTCCTCGGCTCAAAGTCTGGAAAAAACTCACTGTGAGCTTCTTAAGGTTATCACCCTGGTAAACCTCAGACAACGCAAGGTACTCTGCATACTCGGGATTTTTCAACCTCCGCCACGACATCGGCGGCATCGTGCTTTTCCAGCTCGGGGAATTTTGCATCTCCATGGGAGAGGGATTTGTGAGGTGCGCATTACTCCCCCGACTAGAGACGTTTTATACATAGACGAGCGATTTTACTTGTGCGAGATAACGGTCAGCTGATAAGAAACAAGTCAAACAACAACTCGTCGACCCTGGATGTCTTCGGTCGCCGCGGCGTTCATACCTCCCACCTCACTATGAATCTTGGTTCCGTTGTTGCATTGCTGGGTGTGCTGCTCAGGGATGCCGTAGATATCATGGAAATTTCTAGGGATACCGACGAACAATCCTACGAACAAAGAACCCCGAATAATATCACTTTCCACCGAAATCCCGTGAAAACGACGACCGCGCATCCTCTAAAGTCTCTGGCCTCTTATCTGTGCAACATCCAATGGCAGTCCCCAAAAGAGTGGAACGACAGTCACTGCCATGTAGAAGATGCGTCACATGTATCACCAGACCGTACTCGTACGGGTACAGTATCCTGTGTGGCGTGGCTTCTCAGCCGATGATAGCGCGCCACACTTCTAGTACATCCCATGATGATACTCAAATTCCCTCCTTCTTTTAATCGCAATACTCGAACCACCCCCGCCCATAAACCACTCATCGTTCATACCGATAAAACGGCGACAAATCCCCCATCTCCCTCAACTCCTTCTGCGTCCACTTCGCATAAATCTCTTTCTCACTCATCTTTCCCCTCTTGGCATTCGTATGCCCGATATACAGATAATACGCACACGGCACGAGGATGTTTCCGAACCCTACTGCTGCGAGACAGACCCCAAAACCTGTATGGTATCCCGCTGTATCTTCATCAGCTTCCTTCTCAAAAATGGTAGAGGAAAGGAACTTACGCGCTTCTTTCCCCATAAAGATATTTGACCCCGCCACCCCTCCTATCTGCGCCCACAAAACCGCGAGACTGATGGCGATCGCCCTCTTGCCCGCTCCTGCACTATTCAGACCGACCCAGGAAGCGTAAGCGGGGTTGAGGCAGTAGGCGCCGCCCGCTGCTAGACATGTTCCGACGTCTGTTGGATCCATCAGCCTCTTGGATAGGAAAGAGGGTGAAGGGGAGAGATAGAACGTACAAGCCAAAGCGGTAAGGTTTTTGTGCGTAACCGTAAGTACACAGATGAGGAGCCCGATCCACGCCATGATAGCCGGTACGACAGCGACCAGCGTCCGCATCCTGTACCTATCCGAGACCCCTACATTCCCATCAGTTTCTCAGCCTCAGAGGCAGAAAGTGGAGAACTCACAGCCAGAAATGATGATGCAAATCGTGGCAAAGACATACGGCGGCGCCGACACCGCCTGCGACTTGCCCCTCGAAAAGCCCATATTACTCATGATCGTCGGGAGCGTAAACGTCAAGCCGTACACCGATAGAGAAGCCGCGAGATATGCCGTCGAGATAGCCCACACATGGATCGACTACATCGCCATCAGTACCTTCGCATTTCGTGAGGGGAGGGAATGGAGACGTACTTTAAGAGCCGCGATGATATCCTTCTTCTTCATCTTATCGCTATTTCCACTAGCATCATGTCCATACGCATACCTATTCCTCAACACCAAAAACCTCCTATCCTCATCCCTCAACCATCCGCCCTGCTTCGCCGGGCTCTCTTGCAGCACAAAGTACGCCCCTACGCCCACGACGAAACTAAACACGCCCTCAATAACGTAAATCCACCTCCAGCCCCTGTAGCCCCAAGTATAGTCCAACTGCCCTATACCGTACGCGAGCAAGCCGGAGAAAGCGCCAGAGAGGGAAGCGCCGCAGTAGAAGATTGTGTTGCGGGAGTGGAGCTCGGAGGGGGTGTACCAGGTTGTGAGGATGAAGACGGAACAGGGGTAGACGCCGGCTTCGAACAATCCTAGCACTGTGGAACGTCAGCTGTTGTCGCGTTGTGAGGGGACGGTAGAGCTTACAGAGACGGAGAGGCATCCAGGAGGCGATACTCCCAGCACATCCCGAGCAGACGAGAACGATAGCGACAGTGACAAGGATGCCTGACATGACTGGCCGAGGGCCGTACCGTTTGAGAAGCATCGTAAATGGCGGGTTTCCGATAGCGTACGTGATGACTACACCCCCATCAGTATTCGTCCATACCCCATAGAAAGGTGATTGACGCACAGAAGAGCGAAAGAGACAGGTTCCACATTTCGGAAGAGAGGTTCATGTCCTCGAGCGCGCCGAACAGTCTGGCATTACCGACGTTGTTTCGATCTTGAATAACAGAGTCAGCAGCCCATCCATATCCGCACAAGTCCGGGCGCTTACCGATATGTGTCAGAAGATAGATGAAAGCAAGCTGAGGCAGGACATGCCAATCGACCCGTTTCTAGGTGCCCATCAGCTCAACCTTCCGCCCCATCCATGACAAAGTACTCACCGTCAAGTTCTTGAGCTTTTCCCCCTGATAGGTCTCCGCCAGAGCAAGATACTCGACATATTCTGGATTCTCTTTCCCGACGATATGCTCTTCACGCTTGTCAGACTGCCCCTGGCCGGTAGTGTACACGGGCGGGAGCTGCTTTTCGACGGGATACTCTTCCCGCGACCAGGAGGATCTACCTAGACCTGTCATCTTGACTCTCCTTCTTGGAAATGGTGGGGATAGGACGATAAGATGCTTTTTCTGAGGAGAATTTGAGATGGATACTGTGATGATACAGACTGTGTGACGTGTACTATGGAGCGCAGGGTTTGGTGACTAGGGTTGCCGCTATCAGGGATGCGTACATAGGCGGGATTGCGAGATGAGTCGTAGTGGGCTTCCTCCTCTGATGACAGCGGGTCCACTCTGGGGCCACGGACGACAACCCTAGGCTAAGGGCGACGACGGTGCTCTCCGTAACCTTTTCCCCACCGATGTATTCTCGTATCAATCTCATCACCTATATCCATCCTTCTTCCATCCATTTTTTTCAAGGTCGACATTAGTGCCCCTAGTCAGATCCTCCACGTAACCACTCCTACCAATCTCATACAGATACGGACCTGTCATCTGCTTGAGACAAGCGCCTGCCCGAGTCGGGAAAATAAATAATCCAAGTGACCGTGTTCGGGATTCGGCTGGATTCCGGCCGACATCCGGCATCCTCTTTGTTGGGTTCGCCCTGCAGAGATCGTCTCAACGAGGCAGTGTATGTACGTTGCTGGGTTCGTCCACCAGAAGAGGGTCTGTCCGCGATAACTGACCATCCACTTGACGTCCCCTAAACGCCCCCAAGCATCCCGCTACAGTAAGCTCGGGAGCGCCCAGCTGCTCTACTCTCGTCGCCCAATCGTCGTATCGTTGCATACATCAACCTAAACATCTGTATCGTCCGTTGAGCTACAGTACAGCAGAAGCATATACACTATACTACCTACAGTAAAGACAGCGGCTCGACCAACAGGCAGAAGCAATCTTTCGCTGAATCGATACGGAACATAAGTAAGTTCCCCTGTTAAACTCCGTCGGACTCCTGTACGGACCCATCGAGTCCGATACTGGGTTTTCCCGGGGCGGCGACCCCACGACAGCCACCATCGAGCTCCTCGAGAGCACCGAAAACAATGGTGTATGGGTCATTTGAGACCGAACTATCAACACTCGCTTGTTCGCAGCCTACGATCTGAACGTACTTGTACCCCCTCCTCATACCGTCGTCCCATCCAAACTCGCCGAGGACTTGTCAAGCTAAACGCCCTCGGGAGGGGTGACCCAATGGAAGTCATCACTGAAACCCAACTTTCATCTCGTATGGTCGGTGCGATATGGGAGCTTGCCAACCTTATCACCGAGAGCAAAGCCCTGCCCAAAGAATTCCGCGGCTCCTGGAAAGAATGCGTCTCGAGGGATCATGGAAGCCGTTGACTGGGTCTTTGTCAAGACATCGGATGGTATGACGATTGCCACGACGGTGCTCAAACTATATTCTATACTCACAGATACACCTGATCCTACCGACAGGCTGAAGGGAATATCAGAGTTGTGGACGAACATGGGAGGACGAGTGACGATATGTAAGACTGAGCTGATACAATGGCACAAGCAGGTTCTTATCACACCATCATCTAATGATCATTGACACTATTTTGTAGCTATAGGAAGAGTACGACCAATCCCCATCCGCCGACATCTTCATCCTCACCTCTTACGAAGCCTACCTCCCATTCGAACGCGATCGATCATCTCCCAATATCTTGCGCGCCGGAAAGTCTGTTTATAGGCAAGCCGCATCTTCAGGTGTAGGAGAAGGCGAGATGACGGTCCCAGAACTCATAATGGCCTCCATCCTCCCCCGCGATGACCCGCCCGTTCTTCCAAACTTACCGCCTCTCCCAAAAGTCCCTGCCAAAATCCCAAGACCTTCAGAACGCAGTCGGGATCCAGATTCGATCTCAGAGACTGCTAGCTCGGGCGGAGCGATGTACAACTGGATTGACAAGATGCTATGCAGACGAGGACGAAGATATGGCAGTGAGGATGATACGAAGTGAGCGATACGAGTACCTCCGTGCGTGCCTCTTGTTCTTACCACTGACCACTTCGCTGACAGACCTTCTTCTAGTCAATTTTGACTCATCTCCATTCATTGGAAAGTCCGCTAGGAATCTTGGGAGACTGGAGAATCTACGAGTCGACAAAGATCTGGCATCCTAGGCAGTCCCACTGGATAACATCATCCTCGACGATGGCCGAGACACAAAAGAGACGTTTCCATGTATACTGTACGAGTGGATTGTAATCTACACCAAAACAAGTCATTCGTTTGATACATCAAGGGAACGTCATGCCGTATCTTTCACCGCCCGCTTCTTTTGCAAGACCCAGAGCATCTTCTCCCTCCCACCACCAAAAAAACCATAAATGAACTATCGCACAAGATACGCTTCCATCGGCAAAACCTCCATCCTCTCACAACAATCCAACACCCACTCCTGACTAACCGCCACCTTCCCCTCATCGCCTCTCAACGCTTCCAATGCCGAGACATGGTCTGGATTTTGAGGGGCGGTAAGACGAGGGATGGGGAAGAGGTGAATTTGAGCGACGTGGGGGAGGGTTATTATACCGGCACCGAGGGTCTAAAAGTATGATTAGCAGAGGATAAATGTGAGTAGGGGAGGTTGGGGCGTACTTTGATCATGATCTCAACAGCCCTGGAGGGTTCCACCATGAAGAACGTAAGAGGTACCATCCCTCCGATGACAAACAGCCCCTCCTTTCTCGTGCCCACTGTGCCGCTCCCCACACTACCCACAGCACTACCCGTAGCCGTCCCAGCCCTCGATGGCGGTCCATGCCCATTACCGAGACCCCCGTTCAGCACAGGCAAAGGCGCTGCCATCAATCCAGAAAGAGCTTCACTCAACTGAGGCGCTGGACGACGTATGTTGATAGGTGAACCGGCGGGCGGCAATGTAGCCCGGGGAAGATATGCAGAGTCCTGGGGAGATGGGTATGGTTCTGTGCCGTTGATTTTGATTCGAGGATCGAAGGGTTTGGTTGGGGATGGATCAAGTGGGGGTCGAGGTTGGGCCATACTGAGCAGGCGGTCGGGAATGTCGAGAGGAAGCCTAGAAGGAGAGGCGTTGCCGTTGTTGTCGGCATGCAAACTACAGCGCGTCAGCTTTATCAACGCCGATCGTTGGAGACTTGCTCTGGTTCTTCCTTCACCCGGATCCCTTCCTCCTCATTTCTCTCACTCCTGTCAAAGAACTCATCGACACCTTGCACGTTTTCTCTTTCGCCTGGGTGATACTCGTCGTTCTGGTGTTCGCCATCTTCGCCCGCATACGGCTCATTCGGTCGGCTAGCGAGATGAGGATCCCATGTTGCTCTACTCTGTATCAGTATCCAGTATCAGAAATAGAACGACTCACTTGACTTCCCAACCCCCAAACCCTTCCTTCTCGCCAAGATACATCCCACTATCCCGACAAGCACTCAACCACTCTTTCCTCACCACCCTCTTCCGCCATTTCACCTCGCCCTCTCTCAAGTCCCCAACCACCTGTGCCAGATGTCTTATCGCATTCGACGTCGTCCAATTGTTGTACTCTTTGCAAACGTCAAAGGTGTCGGTATCGTCAGCTTGGACGAGGAGGCAGAGATTGGTAGGCCAGTCGGGGTCGATGTTGACAACTACCACTTGTACACGGGTATGGAGAGCGTCGGCTATGGCTGTACCTGCCATTGACTGATCATCGTCAGCGCACGGCCAAGACAACGAAGGACGACTCACTTTGACGGTACCGAGCAACACCGCGCGATTCTCCCTCAAATCCATAAGATCCGTCGTCAAGTACAGCCCCACCCCTCTCAACAACGGCCCCACAGACAAGTTGCCTCCCCCACCAGTACTCCCCCTGGGCCGTATAGCATTCACACCACTCATCGGTCCATCCGGGTCAAACCCCGCCCCGCCCCGCCCTCCCTCCCTCTCCCGCTCCTGATCCCACGCATCCCTCTGCCATTCTCTCTCCCTCCCCCTATCTCGGTCACCACGCCTGCGACTCCTCCTATCGTCGTCGGGGTAATACGCAGCGTCTCCATCCCATTCTCGCTCCCTCTGCCTCCTGCTGCCTCCTCCCTTGCCTCCCCGGGGCGTGGGGTGTTCAGAGTATGCTCTTGAGCGTTCGCGGCCGTACATGCCGTGGCCTTCTTCTGATGTATAGCTGTTTTGGGCGGGGGTCGTCGATGAATGAGGAGATGCGCGCATTGTGCGCGCAACAAAATGAGGTTTCGGTGACGGACTTTTAGGGTGGAGGCGGTCAATGCCGCGCGCCATTGTCCTCGACATTTCTCGTTCAACTCGGCAAGCTCGAGCAGATTACCCGACATTCCTATTCATACACTTCGTTTATTTTTCGCAGACCCAAATACCAAAAGAGTGGCTAGAAGATTGAGTGCGTGTATATCTCGAGTAGAAGAAACAACTAGTTGACACAATCCAACCTTCTTTGTCATTTTTCTGTTGAAATTGAGAAAGATACCCTTCTTCGACTTGTATATACCCCAGCAACACAAAAAAAAAGAAAGGAAATGAGAATGGAAAGAAAAGAAAGACAAAAAAGCCAATCTACGCCCAGCCATTCATCCCTCCCATCCACCCTTCCGGCCGCTTATCCCCAGCCACATACTCTCTCGGCGCTTCACCCATCAGCACCCTCCCCCCAGCCCCGGCCAAAAGCGGCTCATTCTCCTTCCCCTCCTTCCTCCTCCTCTCCCTCTCCGCCATCTCCGCCCTATCCTGCTGTTCCACCCACGCCATCGCCTCCCTCGCTTCCCTCTCCCTCTTCTCCCTCTGCCTCAGCTCATGCTCCCGCTCCCGCTCCCTCTGCCTTTCCATATCCATCATCCTCTCACGGTCCATCCGCGCAAGCTCGGCGGGGGAGGGTTCGGGGCCGTCGTGCTCGCCGCCGCGATCGCGCGCACGGGCCTCGTCGAGACCTTTGGCTTCTTCGGCGGCTTGCTGGTCGATCAAGAGTTGGCGGGCGGCGAGTTCTTTGGCTTTGCGGGCTTTGGCTTTGCGGCCCGGTCTTCCTTCGTCCGGTACACCAGGAATGACGGTCCACCAGCCACCTTTACCGGCAGTATCATCGGGGATCCCATCAATCTTGTTTACCCTCACAAACATTTTCCTGTGTCCCCATCAGCACCCAGCACACATTTCAGAAGAGAAAGAGACTTACTTGAGGGAAAGGTTGTGCCTAATACTATTCTGCCACCCCGCCGTCTTCTTCTCATCCAACGTCTTGAAGAACGGAAACCTCTCCGCAATACTCGCATAAATCTGATTCAACTGCAACCTCCTATCCGGCGCCTGCTCGATCGCATGCCGAATCATCTCGTGGTACGGATACGGAGGCTTGCAGTCGAACCCTGGTCGGTCGCCGTCTGTGGGTAGTTCGTTCAATTTGCGGCTGGTGCGGGAAGGCGTCGCGGCGGCGGAGGAGGAGGTGGGTTTGCCGTTGGCGGTGGCAGTAAGCGGACCGGGAAGGGCAGAGGATGAAGAAGAAGCAGAAGCGGGCGCTGCGAATGCCGTGTCGTTCAGCGGTACCACATAATCCACATTCTCCTCCACCTGCCCCAACCCATTCCCACTCCCACTTCCCCTCTGACCATGCCCCATCCCATTCACAGGCGGCGGCGACATCGTCCCCCTCGCACTCAGCGCCCGGCGTGGGAAAGCCATCATCTCGCGCGCAGGCGGAGACCCGCCAATAGTCCTTCGTCTCTTGTGCGCATTCGCGCTCGCGGTAGCGTTGGGAGGGAGGATAGTCGTCAAAGGCGAACCTTCCACCGCTTCCGCCGCTGCCAACAGCCCATGCAGCTTATCGGACGAACTCGCTCTTCGCTGATGCCCCCCGCTCCTCTCGGGCGAATCTGTCGCTACGCGCTTCTTGCCCTTTAGCAGCAGCCCATCTTCCACTGCAAGATCGGCAGAGTCGGGGGAAGCAGCGAGGGTCTCCCCGGGGAGGGACTTGGTACGGCTGCCGGGGGTCTTGCCTGTGAGGGTTGCGATTTCGGCAAACTCTTCCAGGACGGAGCGGGCGGGGGTGTCGGGGAGAGGTCGTTTGGAGCTCGAGATGGGCGAGACGAGCGTCGACTGCGTCGGGCTACGAGACTGTTTTGTGCCGTTGCCATTACTGATCCTCCCCCTCGGCTGACTCTGTCGAGCCGCCCCATTCACAGCCCCATTTGCCCCCTCCCTATACCTCGCCTCATACCCCTCCTCCAGCTCATAATCCTCCTCCACATCCCTCCCCGCCCACTTCAGCCCCCGCATACTCGGCGGCTCTGAATTGTTCTCGGCATAGTCCCACTGTGAATGCGGGAAAGCAGCGAGGACGGCTTTGTGGATTTCCGACACTTCTGGTGCTCGGGGGAAACGTTCGAGCAGCAAGTGACGGATGCCGTTGAGCGGCATGGGGGGTGTGATGGCGTTGTGCGGTGGGGCCGAGTGAATAAAGTTTGTTCGTAGCCTACCCCCAAGTCAGCTTTTTCCATGAAAAGAAAAGAAGGAAAAGTACCAAGAAATAAGATCAATGCTGGCCCCATTCCGCAATACCATCTTTGGCTCAAAAGCAGGCGCCAAAGGCGAACTCGCCCTATGCCCCCTCCAACCCCCTTCCTCCTCCTGCACCTCATCCCCTTCTACAAAAAGCTTCCTCTCCACCCCCGTCCCCGTCCCCGTCCTATCCCCCATCATCACCCCCCTTTCCGACCGCCCATACTCGCCCGGGCGGTACGGTGAGTACACGGAATACGTCCCCTGGGGCGCAGCCGTCCGGTGAGAATGGGAGGACGAATGAGAGTACGATCGGCTATGCGAATGCGCGTGCCCCTGGTTGGAGGGGTACCGGGAAGAAGTGTGGTGGGGGTCGAAAGAGGGGGGGTAGTGGAGTGAGTTGTGGTTGGCGTTGGGAGACATGGAGAGAGGCGTGGGGTAATATCGGGAGTGCGATGATTTTCTCGGTGAGCGTGTTGGCGAGTGCTTTCCCCTTTCGTCAGTCTCCCCCCATATCGTATGCATGGGACGCACCAAAGTAGATGGAGTTGATATCTGGTTGACACCAGGCATACTCGTTTTTTTCGAGGGCTTTTGGGGCAAAACCCGGATTAGGTCCTACGTAACGGCTACGGGGCAGGGAAAATCAGCGTCCGGGGCGGGGTAGTCGACGGTGGAGAGGCAAGATCGGGCACCGTATGGCTGGCGGGGGGTCATGAAAGGGCCATGGATGGTCGGATGGGAGCGTGGGATGGAGGAGCATAGGTCATCGCCCTTTTTCTCCCATAGACTCCCTAGATCCCGTCTACCCACCAACCCACCGGGGCGCTCTGCCGCCCGCCCTCACGTCCTGGGAGAAGTTTACTCACCGTCAAGCTACGAGAGAAGGACCGCGAGATGCTGCAGCAGCGAGCGAGCTGTAGATATGTACTGTGTAGACAGAGATATGGGTAGAAAGAAAGGGGTGTTCCGGGGGGCTGTTCTGTGTAGCGATGCACCTGGCAATCCAGGGGGTAGCTGGCGCGGCGAGGGGGACAGGGGAGGATGGGGCTGAGGGGGGATGGGATGAAAAAAGATATGGGAGATAGGTGTCTCAGCTGGCCACTCAGGGATTGTTTACAACCCGAACAAATAACTGAAAATAACAAAAACACAAATGTCATCTATCCTTCTTCCCCAATCGTAGCCTTATCTGCTTCACCTCTCCATGCAAAGATACCACCACTGCATTTCCCAGAGCCGCCTCTACCCAACCGTGCCATGCATGCATACCCCCACCCAAGCCACTCCCCGGCGATGGTGGGTCCAATACTGCCACTAACGGAGTCAAATGTATCAGAGCCCTGGGATGTCAATACAACAACGTCATCTCATTCTCTCCCCACAGCCCAGCCTCCCCGGTATTCTTCGCCGGCTGAGATCATCTTTACGCAGCCCTAGAGCTTCTCGTAAAGGCCAGGCATCACCCTGGAATTTCGTAGCAAGGGGTCATACCTGCATAGGCGGTTCATGCTACAGATACATCCTGAATCGAGGCAAAACAACGTTTCGCGGATTTGTTGTTGCCGAGCAAACAGACGCTTGACCTGCGCTTGTACAAGATCTGTCTGTTCCAGACTTCCAGACCCTTGCACACTGCTGGGGGTACACCGGTACAGCAGATCATGAAAGCACGCTTTGGTTCCCGGGCGTCATCAGCCCTTTCCCACGCACGATGCACCTCCAAGGCCTGGTACATGACGGGAGCATGGGCGGATGGCGTACGCCGCAGGCGGCAGGCGGTAGGTCTCTACTAAAAAACCGGACCAAAGTTTGACACCAACGAAAGGAGATCCAAGGGCCGAGAATTCCGATCTTCTCGTTTTTGATTCCAGCGAAATCGTTGCATACATACTCTCTTCTGCATACGCCTTTGTGAGAAGGTGAATGAACGATGTGGGTTTGGAAATGGGACAAGTTGGATGCATAGGATGCATAAAGCTTGGCTCGTATGCTTCTTACACGATGTGCATGTTGTATGACATGGAATACATTATATAGATCGCCAAGCTCGCCGCCACATCGGTCCCATCCCGCGCCCCCCCCGCCCCCCGCACGATACATCCGTAATTATACTCGTCACGTTCCCCAGAACCCGACCTCGAACCCACTTGACTTTGCTGGCCATCTTGTCCGTAGCAGAGACTTGGGCAGATGCGTCTCAAGGGACGTCTTGGTGGTACAGACTCACAGAGTAGTGCGTGATACAGCGCCGGACCGATGCGCGTCGTGAAGAAGCCGACTGCAACGAGGTGAGGAACGAGTATTGAGGTCGCCGCCTTCTTGTATGAGTTGGCATCGTTGTAATAGACACATGTGCAGTCATAGGATAGGCAGCTACAGTACGAAGATGTCTTTGTAGGTGTAGGTGCACGGCATCCTCCTTCTCCTGCCTCGCCCTGCTCGTCGTCATAGGGTAGAAAATCGTTACGTCAGTACTTCCATCTGCGAAGGCGTGTGATTTTGATTTTTCCTCCGCCCAGCGCGACCGGTGTGCAAGGACGGATGTAACCAGCCCCGGCGCTCTGGACAGCTCAAGGGTGATGCTCAGAGTAGCGGCTTCCGAGCATCACAATAAACAAACAGCCAGGAATACATATACTAGCACACGCTCTGCAATTTGGAGATCTCCATCATTCAGTTCATCGCGGCTGGCGCCGATCAACAGCAGTCCTTCAGCGATACAGATCAATACCTCTTCCCTTTCATTTCCAGTCTCCTATACTCCCAAAGAAGCTCTTATAATCCGTCTACCTTTATCCTACACGCTCTTTTCACTCTTCATCAACAACGAGCCCATGCGCTTCTTCGCCCTCTTCACCGCTGCCGTGCCTCTCCTCGGCTACGCCCTCGCCGCTCCTTTCGGTGGTATCACCATCCCTCTCGATACTCGTGAAGCCCCCATCCCCTACAGCCCTGACTGTGGACTTTACTTCCATTCCTCCAGAAGCTCCGGAACAACGTCGCAAGTTCACCTTCTCTCCTCGCATTCGTCGGCGGTGCTGATTAGTACATCCTTCAGACCTCTGTCCCTTCTCTCCCTGGCAAGTTTTCCAAGGCAGACGCTAATGCGCTTCTGGATACCCTCAAGGGCTTGTTCGAGTCTTCCATGTCTGAGCTCGCGCCTTCTTCTGCCAAATGGTTTGAGAAACTCGTCGCGTAAGCCACCCCCTCCCCCTCCCGTACACTTGTCCTGAGGAAAGCTTGCTTCATCTCACCGACCTGCCACAATCGATTCCGCCTTGTCTCACCAAACGTTCTGCTTTCACGCAAAGACCCAAATGAGGAGGCTTTTTATAAACACACCTTGAGAAGGACAACGATAGGCAGTCAGCGGCGCAAGTCATTCTCATCGCGATCACGACTGACTCAAAATCCAACATTTGTATCCATTTAAAACCAAAATAAGAACCAGACCTCTAACACACTGTTCACATCATGAATCCCCACATCATCTCCTCAATCCAACCTGTTCGACCCCTCATCCAAATACCCCTCCACCGCATTCCCCCTCTCCAACCTCTCCTGCGAAATCACATAACTCTTTGGAAACCCTCCATCCCACTGCCCCTCGCCTTCTTTGGAAGAGATGATATAGTCGACGAGGTACTTTGTGACGAGGACTATGCGGCCCATGCCGTGGCCTGTTGCGACATCAGCTTACTATCCTTGAATGAGGAGATGGGGCGAAGAGGGGAGAGGGGAGAGGGGAGAGTGAAAAAGGAGAGAGAACGTACCATGGAACCCAGCAGCGATGTAAAGACCTTGACTATCCCCACCTGGCACCTGCTCCTTTGGCACCTGGCCGACGAGAGGAAGTGTGTCCTGTGTAGCACACATGATACCTGACCAGAACCTCATCCCGCCTTCCCCTGGCGCGGTCTCCTCCCACCCTTCAAAGTTGTTCGCGCAGTACTCGGCGAGCCCTACACCCTGTCAGCTCCTATCGAGGGGGAGAAAGCGATGGAAAGGAACGTACACTTCCTAGCAGCAGGATGCACAACACTATCATCAACATTCCCCCAAACATCCTTCCTCTCCATCAACCCCTTCCCCAACGACGTCTTTTGATACAACCCATGCACAATCCCAGCATGCGTAGTGTTGATGAGGTACGTGCCGTTATCGGTGGTGTATGTATTGTCGAGGGCTTTGGAGCCAGAGTAGGATGGGGGAGGGGTGACGTTGGCTGCTTGGCCTTGGAAGGGCGTTAGGCTGGGTGTTATGTTAGCTGGGGATGAAAAGAAGGAGGGAGAGGGAGATAGAGGGAGACGGACAATTTGTCGATATCAGACCCCTTAAACAAGTTGGGAGTGTGCGCATTGGTACACAAGATAACATTCTTCGCCTTCACTGTACCTCTCTCCTCACAATCCACAACCCAAAGCCCATCCTCCTTCGAGATCTTTTGAACAGGGGCCCAGGAGTAGAGCTCAGCGTTGGAAGTAGGAGAGGAGAGGGCGGATTTGAGGAAGGCGGTTGTAAGCTTGTGCGGGTGGAGTGAGCCGGCGGGGCCTTTGGAGAATCCTTGGGCGTTCTTCATGCGCGTCGTCTTTTGCATCTGTCAGTACAGCCCTCAGGATGAAGATGAAGATAGAAGGGGGAAGGGGGACGTACGGCTTGGGCAGTAGCGGGGTCATGGGTCCAAGACCATTCGAGGGGGATGTCTTTGAATCGCGAAGCTGCGCGGGCGGAAGACCAGAGGGCGTAGAGCTTGTCCATCTTCTCGGCACCTTCGGGTGTAACGCGAACTGGCCAGAGCGTTAGCGACCGTCCCATGACCATTCCCCTCCGCCCCCGCCCCCCTGCCCCCTGTCCCCGCTAAAAAAAACCCCACCTTCAACCTTCTCCCCACTCCAAAAATCAACCTTCTCCCCCCACCCCTCCCTCTCCACAATCTCCCTCAACTCTATCAACACCCGTCTCTCCAGATCCAGCGCTTCGAGCGCTTCTTCCATGTCGAGCCCGACGCCACCTTGGGCTTGGGGGGTGAGGTAGTTGTGGAGGGCTGCGAATGAGTAGGGGGCGCAGTGGCCGCCATTTCGGCCGGCTGTATATGCGGATGAGTAGGGAGATTGAGGGTGAGGTGGGGGGACTTACAAGCGCCGGAAGCTACGTCTTTGGCCTCGAGAATGACGACCCTCTTGCCTTCTTCCACACCAGGTCGAGTAAGCCTGTACGCCGTCGTCGCGCCTATCAACGCATCAGCCCACAATCCTCCCCCCAGTACTCGGATGTTACTCACCTGCCATACCGGCGCCAACAACACAATAATCAACAACATCCCCCGGCAAAGCCTTATCCTTATTATGCCCAAAGAGCGAGTCTTTACCCCTGTTGGTAGCCTGCCAATGAGAGACGGTCGAGGTGAATGGTTGTGGGAAAGTAGACATTGTGTATTGTCCTGTGACTGTTGAGAAACCTGTTGAGAAAAGAAAAAAGAAAGAGGAGATGCGATGGGTTATAGGTAGTTCGGGAGAGTTGATAAGGATAGTCGCCGATGGGTCGGTCAAATCCGAAATGTTCGGGAGGAAATCGGGATCATCGGGGGTCCGTTGTGTCTCCCGAACTCCGAAGTGTTTACGGACTCGCGAATGTGGCATCTTTCTTGCTGCGCCATATCTTTCGCTACATCCACAAATCTTCGAGCATAGCTCAGTCGTCTTTGGGGCTGATACAATATCTAGAGTCTGTAAACGTATGAGCTTTGCCAGTAGATCACCGACCTAAGCTGCCATTCTGTCGCGCCCAAACGGCATTGCCTGAAAAGTACCCTCGAACCTCCTCCCAGAAGAAAAGGTTGAGAGCAGTCCGGGATCTCTGGAATATCATCTTCATGAATGGTGAGCGCAGTCGGAGCGGTATCTGCGATTCTGCGAGTGACACAGTCTTGGAACCAGTGGCTTATGAGGCGGACGATGGAACGCTGCAGCAGCGTCTTGGCGTCTTGCAAGATCATAAAGTATGTCATCAATAACGAGCTCGGTCCCAGGGAAATCTACTTGATGCTTCTGGACAATTATCAGCATAGCTGATGCGGTCGGCTGCGACGCAGACGAGGAGTTACGTTTGACCCTTCTCGAGACAAAGTGAGCTCTATCTGCTGGTCTTTGTTCATACAACGCTGCCCTTAATATCTGCGAGTCTTGTCATACCTTTCATCCGGACTCTTCTTTGAAGGCTGCACAGCGTACGGGTTGGCCAGGGCGACGTTGAGTGGCGCCACATCCGCCAACGCGAACCCTGTGTTTCACTTTCACAGACTGACTAGTTTGAGAGATGAAACCTCGCCCAACGATCGAGCTGTGAAAGGATGAGGTGAATGAAATGATAAAGCAGTGTGAGTAGCGTGCTGATATATGCATCCGGTCAGTGCCATCAACCGACGGAGTTGCAGTTGACACCTTTGTGGAGTTGTCTCCGGAACCAAATAAGCCCTTACGTAAAGCGCTGACGTCAAGCTTCAGGCCAGCAGCGCGGCGGTACACTATCCAAAACATTTCGCAGTTTCACATCTCTTTTCTCATCTGCATCTCATCTTGCTCTGTTTCTGCTGGGATGTCCTCCCCCACACCCCCCGAGGTCGCCCCCTCCCGCCACGGCCGTAACCTGTCCACCGCCTCCGCCGCCTCCATCACCTCTTTTGTCACCCCCAAATCCGAGGCCGCTCAGCGTATGAGCAAGACTTCGACCATCCAGAGCACGTCTATCAACCCCAAGAGCTACCTCGAGAGTGTGCTAGACCATTCCCAGCTCGCCATGGCGGGCGTCGTGTCGTCCCTGATGCTGTGAGTTACCGTAGCCAAGGGACAAGGGACGAAAAGCTTAAACCTAGCTGCAGGTGCGGTATCATGTACTCTCTCCTCTTTGACACATCCCTTAACACCTCCGAAATACACCACACCCACCTCCCCCTCCGCGCTGCCTACTTTGCGCGCAAATCCAACATCTTCAACGTCCTCTTTGTCAAACGTTCATGGGCTTGGACATCTGGCGTCTACCTCTTGCACCTCTTCAGCTCTCCCCGCCTCTTCTCCCCCGAATCTCCTGGGGGTAGCTGGCCAAGACGCCTCGGGGCCTGGGTGATCGCAACCTCCTTTTGGGCTGTATTCGCCAAGTGGTTCTTTGGCGCCGGTTTGGGTCATCGCATCATAGCCCTTACCGGAGGCAACTGTGCCCTCCCAATCCCCGACGGGATCTCCCCCGAACTCGCCCGTACCACCTTCAGCAAACTATTCACTTCGGGCCTCACCCCCGCCGGATCTGAACGTTTATACCTCCAAGTCCCTTCCGAGTACTGCCACGGCAAACCCATCACCTCTTCCCACTTGCCAGAGCTTTTCGGCCGCCTGTACCAAACCAGTAACCGCTTCGCAGACGCCCCGGGGAATATTTTGGGCGAAGCGAGCAACAAGCACGAAAGCCTTGTACCGCTGTCACGTCCGAGATGGCATCTCGGCTTCGACATTTCCGGCCACTCTTTTCTGTTGACACTCTGCATCATGCTCCTTGCGCGCGAACTCGTGCCCGTCTGGCGCTCATGGTCCTCCAACTCCAAACGCTCTTCTTCCTCCAGCTCCAACCCAGGCGCCCTGGGTGTGTATCACGGGATTGTCGGGCTTTTGGGTACTGCCCTGGTGGGCATTTGGATGTGGATGATCTTGATGACTGCTGTCTACTTTCACAACCCCCCAGAGAAACTCGTCGGGCTCTGTACGTCCCCCCTCCTCCCATCTTCCCTTTTTCCCCGTGCCCTCCACTAACATTCAACAGGCGTTGGTCTGCTAGCTTCTGGCATCATCAACATCCTCCTCCCCCCTTCCCCTCCCCCATCCCCATTCAACCCTCACACAACACCCACCAAACCCCTCCCTCTGCACTTTAACGTCCTCCGCCCTACTCCTTCCAGATCTTCTTTCAATTCCCTTTCTCTTTCGAGGTCCAACTCTTCCAAATCAGCCACCCTCTCTAGATCCAACTCGCAGTCCCAGCCAGGGTCTTTGCCGGATCTGTCGGAGAAGGGACAAGTAGACTTGGCGGGGCTGGACGAAAAAGATTTCGTGCCCAAGGGGTACAACGAGAACTCTGCGAGACGGGGGAGCGTGGTGGATGGGGGTATTATATATGAGATGGGGGATGATAGTTTTGAAGAGGATGAGCCGAAAGGGAGGGGATCGCCTGTGGGGAGTAGGAAGGGTCAATGAGCGTCTATCCGTGTCGAAGGAGCTTGGAGCTTGGAGCTTGGGATCCGAGGACGCTGTTTGGCTAGTGTACACCTATTTGAGAATCTTGGACCACACTATGTGAGATACAGCGATATACATAGGCATTCATATACCTCAAAACATGTATCCAATACCATATGCCCATTTAGAGACTTTGTAACATGACGATTGAGTCCGAGATGCATGTGCTCATACTATCACTACCATAACCATAACCAACAGACGTATACCGAAGAAAGACTACAAACAGAGGAGCGAAAGGATATCATTAAGAGTGAGAGCCGAGAATACGAGAATAATAGGAAACTAAACGAAACAAGTGAAGAGGTATACGTATTAAAGAAAGTCTGGGGTCCAACACAACTCGCCGACGAGACAGGGGATCTAAAGAATCAATACTTTTTGACAAAACACAATCGAGAACCTGAAATCAATAGTCCAGAAACTAGATCAATGACCCTCCCTGTTGCTGCTGCTGCCCCCCAAAGGCCTGCCCCGTCTGTTGAGCCTGCTGTTGCTGCTGCTGCTGCCCAAACAGACCAAACTGCCCCTGCCCTCCAAGCGGTGAGCCTATTCCAAACGCACCAGCACCCGTCAACTGCGGGTTCAAACCCCCGCCCGCTCCCCCTCCAAACGCCCCTGTACCCCCAAGACTACCCCCACCGCTCCCGAACGCAGCGGCGCCGGGAGCAGCGCCAAACATGGTCGACTGCCTGAAAGGGTTTGCGCCCGTCATCTGCGGTGAGAGGGTTTGGCCGAATTGAGATTGCGGTTGGTGTTGCGTTTGCTGAGGCTGGGATTGCGATTGAGGGAGACCAGTCGTACTAGGCTGCAAGAACCCTCCTTGCCCCGAACCAGGGAACCCAGTAGCCTGCGCACTCAACCCCCCGGCCGACGGACTCGTCACCCCCTGCCCGGGCGTCCCCGCCCCACTCCCAGGCTCAGGGATAGGCGGCAAACTCTCCATCAACGTATTCCCAAAACTGCTACTCGGCTTGAACGGCTTGATATTCGAGCCCCCATACCCCGTTTGCTGGGGCTGCAAGAATCCAGCTGCACCAGCACCGGTAGGCTGGGACGAGAGCGACGTCGCGCCGGTGGGGTTGGACGACAGCCCGCCGAAAGAGGTGGAGGCGGGTTGAGAGGAGGGGGATGTAGAGCCGGTGGGGTTACCGGAGAGGGACGAGAATTGGGAGAAGATGTCGTTGTTGCCATTCGCGGTGGAGGCGCCGTTGGATTTTTCGCCAACTGCAAACTGACTCGCGATCGAGGACATCCCATCCCCTTGCCCTTGCCCTTGCTGACCTTGCCCTGGCCCCTGCTGCTGCCGCCCCTCCCCGAACAACGGACCCTGCCCCTGCCCCTGCCCATACCCCATCAACAACTCATTCATCGTCGGCTTCCTCTCCTGCTGCTGCTGCTGCATACTCGCACTAGGCGCCGCGGGCGCCGACCCAGGCGCGGGCGCGAACGGGTTCTTGGAGCCCGTCGCTTGGGACTGGAGTGGTTTCGGGGACGCCGAGAGCCCAGGTTGGGCATTACCCGTAGTCGGTTTGAAGGGTGAAGAACCAGCGCCGGTAGGTTGGGGTGCGAAAGGAGACCCCGATCCAAAAGCAGGCGTCGACCCCGGTCTCTGAATCTGCGCGTTCCCTTGCCCTTGACCGAAGGGTGAAGCAGGCTGAGAACCAAACATCATACTCTGCCTGAACGGGTTTGACCCCGTCGATTGGGGCTGCAAAAAGCCCGTCTGCTGGGGTTGCAACTGCTGCTGATGCTGCTGGGGTTGAGCCTGGGGTTGGGGTTGGATGAAACCCGTCTGCTGCGGCTGCATAGCCCCAAACTCTCCCCCCGCGCCCATCTGTCCCGGGAAGATACTCTGCCGATTCCCAAACGCCATCGCTCCCGTTTGCTGGGGCTGCATGAACCCCCCTTGCTGTTGTTGCTGGAATGGCTGCTGGTGGAACGGTTGTTGCTGTTGGGGAAGGAACCCAGTTTGTTGCGGCTGCATGAAACCGGTTTGTTGGGGGTACATCATACTCTGGCGGAAGGGGTTGAATTGTTGTTGGTTCACCGTCATATTCGCATAATTCATCCTACCAAAGATCGTTAGCTTTATGAACATATTTTTAGAGATGGGACGTACTGCTGGGGAGGACCGCCAAACATGGTAGGCTGCGAGTCCGCTTGGATGCTTTCGAAAAAGTCTTGGATCTTTTGGGATGAGCCGGGAGGCGCTGCGGCGGGCTTGACCAGGCTTTCTGCAGGCTTGGCCGCTTCCTTCGGTTTACTCGGCGACGATCCCCTCGCTGCCGGTGCAGCCCCCGCCGCCGCCCCACTATTCGACCCCTCCCCCCTCCCCTCCACCACCCCCAAACTCCTCTTATACTCCAACCGATTCTGCTCAAACCCCGGATCCTCCAGATACTCTTCCAACGCCTTCACCAACCCCGTCGGCGCATGCTTCAAATTCGGCACGGGCACGTTGAGGATGTGGTTCAGTTTGCGGGCGATGGAGAGATAGTCGACGACGCGGTCGGTTTGGGAGATGAAGGATTTGTAGGTTTGGAAGGCGTCGGTGGCGTCGATTTTGGACATTTCAAAGTAGTGTTCTGGAGCTCTGTAAGCTTGATGTGGGAGGGGGGTAGGGAGGGGGGAGAGGACGTACCGAGGATGTTGCAGACGCCTTCGTTGCCGGCTTGGAATAGCACAAGAAGGTCCTTGACTAATAAACGGAGAGCGAGGACCGTGTTTTCGTCTCGGAGATCATCATCATAGAACTACCCATCATCAGTCTCAAAATTTACGCTCGAGCTGTAAAGACTCACCTTGCACCGGACAAGAGCATCCAAAAGCTTTTGCACCTGTTTGACCTCTCTCAAAAGACCTTTTTCGACCGGAAGGTGTCTTAATCTCCTCGCTTTGGCTATTCAAGGCGTCAGTGGGAACACGAAAGTAGGTGATGGTGGACTTACAAGCAGCACCGAGTCCATCACTCCGCCTGTTACTCTCCGTCTGTACTCGGATGAGGTCGTGTTTCACATCGCGATAAGACCGGATTCGGGCATCGAGATAGTCGGCGTAAGCGCCCAAACTGGCGGGAGGAATGTAGCCTGCGTAATGATCAGCCCACAGCCTTCTTGGTCAACAAGAGCAAAGCGACGTACCCTGATACCCTCGTCCACCGAGACCCCTGAGCTTCAAAACATCATGCCTCGCGAGAATCTCCAACAACCCCTCCGAAGCACCTGTCCTAATCATCTGATGTAACGTCAAGAGGGCCTTGAACACGACCTATGAGGGGCAGATGGCAGCAGGTGTCAGCGTGCCATGTCGACCACGAGGCGGATGATAAACCCACGACGCCATTGTTATCCCTCAGACGGAAGGCCAGAGCTTGGATGATGTCTTCTAGGGTACGGTCGTCGCCGTAGGTCGCTGCTATCAGCGCACTACATCCTGTCAGCCTTCATCCACCATATACTATCCCATCCAAGTATAGTCTTGATGACGTACTCGATATACTGCACAAACAAATCAGCCCCACCCTATGTGACGCTCGAGCGTACGCACCTTTGCTTTCGGGGGCGCATTCTTGGGTTTACACGCGAGCTTGACGATCTTCTCGTAGTCCTGGACGGGCATGCTGTATAGGTGGACTATGGGGGATGAGATGCGATTCAGGATGCAAGAGGACATGCGCGGCTTATGTGGGGTGCGGCATCTTAATTTGCTCCCGTTAACGCAACGTCCAGTCTCTATTCAACTATCGTTGCGTATTGTTCTCATCAATCTGTCCCCGGACAATGCCATCTGTAACTCTCCGGGAACTCACGGGATCCTTCATCGGGAATATAGCTGGCTTATGAAGTGGCTAGAGACTGTACTTGTTGCCAAGTTCAACTACATGTTTCGAAGCCTGTGCTCACACAACTAGTGTCAGAAACATCCCATAAACCTTGTTTTCGTCATATGCTCTGTGGCTAAGTTGGTTACGGCGTCCGACTGTTAAATCCCACATTCCATTCGCGTTTTCAATCGGAAGATCGTGAGTTCGACCCTCACCGGAGCAGTTTTCTTTTTGTTTCTTGTTCCCCTGCGAGTTGCTTCCAAGCATGCGACAATTAATCGTCATTTTCCCTCAAGCCCTGACTTTAAACTACAATCCACTATTCCCCTCTTGCGTTTCTTATTGCCCTCACTCCTCGTCTTCTTCACTCTACTCCCTACCGGGTATAATCTTCTTTTCATGCGCAAGTCAGCAGTGTATATATATGGCTTGTAGTAGACATGCTTTGGGTTTCTTCTGGTACCTCTTTGGGGCAGGTGCTGAGGTGGACGCTGCTCGGCAGGGGCAATGGGGAGGGGCGTGAGTGCTGATGTGGGAGGGGCGGGCGACGGGGCGAGCTGTGGCGCTGGAGAGAGTGTCGCTGGGGGCACTCCCGGTGGTGCTGCACTGTCCATGGCCGCTCTGCACAACAAGTGAATGGTATTGTAGCCTATAACTTGCTCGGCTTCCGCCTGTAGCCACCGAGATCCTTTGTTTGTGCGTCAGTCGGGCTGTGTCCCCTTTGGATCTCACCTCATCTCACTCTCTTTCGTCTCCCAGCCCCCAGCCATGTCCTTCCTCAGGAGCGTATCTCTCGCCCGCAAAAACCAGGACTCCGAAGCCTCCCCCATCCCCCAACGAGCACCCAGCATCTCGGGCGACAGCTCTCCCCGAGCTCACAACAGCAGCGAGGCAAGCAGCATCGCGGATGACTCGTCTATAACTCCCAGCAAGAACAACCATGGCAGCAAGCGCAAATCCATGTTTGGGTGAGATTACCCGTCTCTGGGATGCAGCCTGCCGTAAGCTGACGACCACTATAGAGGCAAAGGCCGAAGGAGGCTCTCTTCTTTGTTCTCTTCATCATCGACTTTGTCATCTTACGCGAACGATCGCGAAGGAACCTCCTCTCCTCAGCCTGAACCCGGACCCAGCAATTCGATCACTTCCTCCTCCTTGACTTTTGTCCGCTCGAATGTTACCGGATCTGCCCGTTCGGCAACAGCCGGCGCCCCCGCTGAAGGTGGGATTGAATTTTCCCAAAGGGGCTTGAGCAACTTGAGGATCGGGACAGTCACTGGCGAAGTGACAGAGTCGCCTGAAGCCTCGCCGACAGTCGAGTTGGGTTCCGCGATTGGTGCCCGAGACGCGGCTACAAAGCGTACGAGGCGAGATAGTATGTGGTCGCAATGGGAACTTGAAGGCTTAGGCGAGGATGATTCGTCTAGCGACGAGGATGACGGATTCCTCACTCCTTCAGAGGGCCTCAGCGAAGTTGAAGAGGAGGACGAGGACGAAGTGGAACCAAACGCCTTGATCCAATCTGCCCACCTCGCTGCTATCGCGGCGGCAACGACTATTGTCCTAACAGCGTCTCCCTCCGACTTCAAGGTTGAACCTATCAATGTCGAGAAGGGTGCTCTGGTGACCGACACCAAAAACATTAGCGGTACAGGCGCGTCAACCATTCACAGGAGTCTCCCTACTATGACAGAGACCCGGGTCAGACGACATGTGTCTCACAGACCTGATGCCGCCACGGTGGACCAATCGGCCGTGCTAGCAAAGGACATTGAGACTTGTAGGGGAGCTATAAAGCTGTTGTTGACTAGTCGTATGAATGAAGCAGAAGACTTTTGTCAGGAGAAAGCGGGAGAAGGTCATCATTTGTACCTTCAGAGTACCATGGGGATCATTGAAGCGTTAAAGGTTAGTCTGAATCCATATCATGAGATCATTGCTAATGCCAGTATCAGGGGATGATGACTTTTGACTCTGTCAACCTCCACAACTCTCTCGACATTTGCAAATCCACATCCATCACCGCCTCTACCCTTCGTCGTGCCAACAACAACGTTATGCACCGTCTGGGCAGTCTCGTGACATCTGGCGGAGGTCTTGCTCGTATCAAAGCCATGACTCCATTGGAAAGACATGCTGAGCTTGTATATGCTGAGCAATCATTGTTGAAGGCCATGTTGGCTATCGTGGCCGGAGGTGATTGGATCGGTCTAAGGCGAGAAGCGTGAGTGATACCGTTTGCAATCTGCAAATCGACTGACATCATACAGTATGAACGTGCATGCAGCACATGGAATCTATAGGAGTCTTCAGCAGTACTTGGAAGATGCAGAAAAGCATGGGTATGACGACGATATTGATATGGACTTCCGCTCGGTACGTCTGATCCATCCCTCTCTTACTCGACTGACGCGTATACAGGGGGTCCTCCTCGGTACCGGTACCTCGTCGCTCATGCTTTCACTTCTCCCCGGCAAAGTCCTCAAAATTGCGGAAGTCTTTGGTTACGCCGGTGACCGTACCGTCGCCCTCAATACATTGATGGCTGTCGGCGGGTGGACTTCTGGTGTCGCCGAGCCGAGTCTTGATGAGACGAATGAGGGATTGAGGCGACCTATTTGTGATATGATTCTCCTCGCCTATCATCTCGTCATCTTGGTGTTGATGTGAGTCAAAGACATCACCATGTGATATTCGCTGACATATTATAGACCTATTTCGGGGATCGATGTGCCATTGGCAAGGAATGTGCTGGCCTACAACATGAAGCGCTACCCTGACAGTGTATTCTTCCTCTATTTCCAAGCTCGATTACACACCACGCAATGCCAGCCTGCCGAGGCCAACCAGTCTTTGCAGAAAGCTTTGGATCTTCAGCTGGAGTATGTTCAGCTGCAACATATGTGTCTGGTGAGTTCCAGGATTTTCATGAGAGAAATCAATGCTCAAACCCTACCAGTGGGATTACGCTTGTAACCACATGATGATGGGCAACTTTAAGGGCGCTCTTGATTGTTTCTCCATCTTGAAGGACGAGTCGAATTGGAGTCGGGCGGTCTACACCTAGTATGTGGAACTCTCCCGATCTGAAGCGTCCAGCTGTTGATCGTGTCTTAGCGCTGCTGCGGCCTGTATCGTCGAGATGGTCGAGGACGGCCACAAGGGGGCTAGTCTTGAGGAGGCCGACAAGTTGATGAGGCAAATTTCGAAGTTGACAAAGAAGATTGCCGGAAAGTCTTTACGCATTGAGGTGAGTGTTGCAACATTACACCAGCTTAGACCCGTCTGATTATCGCTACAGAAATTCAGTTCACGTAAAGCCCGCAAATTCGAGTCCCAAGGCGGCCGCCTCTTCCTCCCCGCTCTCGAACTCACCTACGTCTTTCGCTCTCTCTGCAACACCCCCCGCCGCAGCCATCTCGATGTGCACATTCCTCGTCTCAACGCCATGCTCGGCAAGCTCGAAGTCGGCGAGTACGAGTACGGGAGCAAGAACGGAAAAGAATACTGGGACGATTATGTCCTGGGCCATTTCCTGCGTGGAATGTGCCATTTCATCGCTAGATGGCAGCCGAAAGATGCGATCATCCCAGAGAAGAATGTGAGCCCTGAAGACCCCTCGGACGAGGAGCTTGACCAGGCGGCCGAGAAGGACTTCAAGGCGGTCATCAGCCATGGACCAGACGTACAGCTTGATCACTGGGTCTTGTTCCATTGTCACTACGAGCTCGGTCGACTTTATGCTCAGAGAGGGAACGATGAATTGGCCAAGCATCAATTCGAGATTGTCATGTCTGGTAAGTATTCCCTTTTGGTTTTGCAGCATATCTGACACACGTATAGGTAAACTCCCTGACCACAATCCATACATGGCGAAGGCCGCGGGTAAATACTCGTTTGAGGGCGCCTTGTTGCTCAAGACCCATGCTGCTCTTTCTGCTGTGAAGGAGCGTGAGAAGGAAAGGAGCGGAAAGTAGAGAGGACGTAGTTTAGTGACCCACAGCCATGCCCCAAATTTCGACATACTGTGAAAGGTGATACGAGTGTATGATGGTGAAGAGAAATACATGGATATTGTAGACCTCAGTGGCGCTATGTAAAACTGACGATTATGTCAAGCAGGAAAAAGACAGTCGCGCCACCGACAAGTCAATAGAAAACCTTCTCCCCTCTAACTACTCTAACTGCTCCGTTCTCCTCACATCCACAACGTCCTCGCTCGCGCCTTCACCAACTCCACTCCCACCCTACACTGCAATCCGTGCCAAACCTCCTTCTCCCTGCACTTCCTCCAACTCCTCCCTTCCGTTGCCGTCTCCTCGCCCATCAAACCGCCCGCAGAAAGAACGAGGGGGCGGAACGGCCCCCCCCCCCGCGTAGATCCTCGGCTGGTGGCTCACCACCTCCTCGTCCCTCTTTCCTAGCCACGCCACACATCGTCCTTGCACCCACTCTAGCCACTCCGTATCCCTCGGCTTCCCTCCCTGTACCACGTACATGTTCTTGTCGTCGAGCCCGTACACCTTCAGGTCGTAAATGATGTTGGGCAGCGCACCTCCACCTCCTCGTACTCGCAAGTCGTTACGCCTTTGCCATGTTTGAGTTGGGGGTTCGAGATGGATGACGGCGCCGGCGACGCGAGAGAGGTAGGTGTGGAGGAGGCGGTTGATGCTGTTGCTTCCTCACTGCCGCCGCCATCTCCTTCCTATCCACCCTGTTGAACGCGTTGGAAGCGTCAAGAGATGCGAGGTGCGTAAAGCCACTCTCGTCTTCGCCCGCCAACACCCTCTCCGCCATTCTGACAACAGGCTCGACGCCGCCGGGAGACTTGACACCTAGCTGGTATGGGAGGAGCAAGTCAGGCTGGAAGTGGGTGGCGATGATGACTTTGGCGCAGAGTCTATAGATGATTTGTCGACGGATGCCTCAGCGCTGGTTGTTGCCGGTAATACATAGGGTCGGTTGAATTTGAGGGGTTTTGCGTCGAGAATTGTCGAACCTTCTTCTGGGTTTCGGAGCGTGTCCGACATACTGTTCGGTTCGGAACTCTTGAGCAGCTCCCTTTCGTGGGCTTACCTCATTGAAGGTCTATGCAAGGCATTGGGCTGAGATCTGCCCGCATTGCCTTTGACAAAAATCAGTTCAAGCGTCGGTGGTGGTGTGCGGTCGGGTACGATTAGTCGGATGTGGTTGCGTATAGTGTATAGCGTATAGTGTAGGGCGTACAGAACGTCAGGAGGACCGGAGTGTTGGTTGCAAGTTGGTTGCAATCTGGTTGCAATCAATTGAATTGCGTGCATTGAATTGATCGTCGACCAATCGTCGACGCGAGTGTTTTGCGAGTGTTGGATTCTGATCGGGCTTTACGTAAAGCACCGGCGCTCCGAGCTGCAGCAGCAGCTGAGCAGCAGTCTATGCAAAGTCTATGCGGCGCTGTGTTGTTTTTCTTTTTCTTACTTCTATAGATTCACAAACTTGTGGCCATGTCGGCCACGGATTCATCTGCAAGTGCTATACCGCCATCCACCGAATCGGTCACCACTTCTCCGCCCGCCCCGAAGGTCCACGACAAATGGGGCGACACCTCTTGCGACACCATACTCTGTAGCAGCGATGGCGTTCAGTTCTATGTCCAATCCTATATGCTGATGACGCACAGGTGAGTCATGGAGATGCTATGGAATATCCTGCTGATAGCAGAAAAGCGTGGCTCTGCGAGACATGCTTCAGACGGTTCCCAAACCCGTGCCCGACGACGGTGCCCCTCCCCAGCGCAAAATTCCCTTCTCCGATCCCGAGATCGAGGACTCGTCTGCTATCGCTTTATTTTTGTCTGCTACGGAGCTGGAACCCCTGCTACCTAGGGTCTCATCGTTCTCCCACAGCTTGATCCCTACACTCGAATGGACCTTGCGCTTTGCCCGCAAGTGGGACTGCCCCATTGCCCTCCGAGTCATCGAGGACTGGCTTTGTGCTCTGGCTTGTACCACCAACACCATCATATCTCTAAAATTCTATAATCCCCTCGACCTCTTTGTTCTGTCGAGTCTGAACCAAATGCCGATACCCGCGAGTATGGTGATCCAGCACTTCAAACCCCACAACTCCCAGCACCCCAGTTCACCACAGGACTGCGCTCAATATAGCATTGTCAAACGATTGAGACGCTGGGGCCGCTTGGGATGTGCTGATTGGCTAAGTCCCAGGAATTTCGAGCGTCGCGCTTGGGAGAGCATTCCAGGGGATTTCCTATGGGCGCTGCACCACTGTCGTAGGGGAACCGCTGAGGGAATGCATCGAGCAAAGGAGTTTCTGAGGCTTATTGGGGACGAAAGATGGAGCTACAAGGTAGCGGGTACCATCGGAGACGTCAGGTGAGCTCGAGAAGCCAACATCCGGTACCCAGATGCTGATGACAATGCGAAGGCCGTCGCTTCCATCCACACCCGATCCGGATAGAGCTCCATCCATACATACACAATGGAACGACATTCATTGTGATACTGTGTTGATCAGTAGCGATAACGTCAAGTTCTTCATAGATTCGTACGCTTTCTGCGGTCAAAGGTGAGTTCCGATGTTAGCTGTGCCCTCGATTATGGACCTACGCTGACCCCACCCAGCTCTCGAATCAATGCCTTGTACAAAGAAGCTATGGCCTCTTCGCATTCACCGCAATCCCCTACAGAGATAGCCCTCATTGGCCCCCACGGCGAAAGCAGCGGTGCCATCGCCGTTCTCCTCTCCGCCTTGAACCTCAAACCCATCACCGACGTCCTCAAAGCCCACAAAGCCACATTCATCTCTGCCTTCAGCGGTGCTCTGCGTTTCGCGCGCCAGTACGAGTGCAGGATGATCCTTCGTGTCATGGAGGACTGGCTTTGCTCTATGGCTCTCAATTCGGATGAGGGGCGCCAGTTTTTCCAGCCTCTGGATTGCTTTGTCCTCGCAGCGCAGAACGACATGACCCTTGCGGCTAGCATGTTGCTTGAGCACTACCGACCCCACCCACACCCCACAGACGACAAAGCATCAGCATCAGCAGCGGCCGTCAATTGTAGGCCGGCTGTCGTGAGCACCGACGAGAATAATACCCAAACACCTCGGTGGGGACGTTTGGCATGCCAGTGCAAGCTGAACATAGACCACCTCCAAAAGGGAGCTTGGGAGGAGATACCGGGCAAATACCTGTGGGCGCTCATGAAAACGGAGGATGTAGAGCAAGGTCAGGCAAGGAGTAAGGCGTTTTCAGATCTTTTGGGGGGTGGAAAGTGGCATTTCGATACCTCATTCAACGCCATTGTGCAGTTCAGCCCATACGCCTCGGTACGTACATACTCGACATGATATGGCGTCGCTTCTTTGGCGTGAAAAGGCATATCGACGTCATATGCATTACATTGCATGATGTCGCCGAGTGTCTAGTCATGAGCGCGTGGTAGCGATGGACTAGAGACAGGCAAGTTTTGATATGCATATAAGCTACGCAAAAGCGTATCGATTCTATAGTCTAAAAAGGGGTGGTTTTTGCGATAACAAGATTGTACGATGATGACTTTTTGCCTCCTCCTCCTGAGATACACTTGCGGTATCCCCAGCGGCTCCCTGCCCAGCTCGCTCCTATCCTCTCTCTCCCACTACCCAGCCCCAAGCTTCAGGCTATACACCCGCCAAACTCCAAGCACCCACAACCCTCCTCGCCAACGCCCCCACATTCGCCTCCGACACTACCACATCCGCATCCAGCTCTACCCCAAAAGCGTGTTTGGCGAGTGAGGCGATGCGTTTGGCTTGGGTTTCGGTCATGATTGTGAAATCGTCCGCCTCGGGTTCGGAGTCGCTGTCGGGATCGACAGTGCGGTCTATACCGGGGTCGCGAGTAGAGTCGTTGTCGGCCAAGCCTAGGATGGAACGTTGGGGGACGGCAGACCGGTCAGCGAGAGAGGCCAGGTGGTCGAGAGCGTGTGGATTGTCGGCAGACGCAAGATTGCTAGGCGAGAAGGTATCCTTGGTGCGCGTCACCTCGTCTTCGATCCCGACTCCACCCTTCTTCCCTTTCCCCTTCTTATCCACCTTCCCAGCCTTTCCAGCTCGCTTCTCTCCTCCGGCTACACCAGAGCCCAAGAGGGAGCCTTGGTCCTCAACCTCGGCATCGGCTTCAACGCCGTCTTCGCCCTCGTCGCCCTCGTCGAGCTCGGGCGTGTAAGACAGAGTGGGCTTGTTGAGAGCCTTGCCGGGCGAGACTTGAGATGCGGCAGTGGGTACAGACGCAAGCCTCATAACAGCCTTGCCCTTTGCCGCCTTCGGCACCAGCTCCTCCTCGCCCTCCAACGCCAGGCAGACAAGTTTCATCATCGTCTCCCTCACCTCCTTCACACCGACTTCCTCCTTAATCTCGGCCGTCTTCACCGACTTGGAAGGGGAGGAAGACAGAGATGCGGAAGAACGACGGGGAGAAGACACGCGGGAAGAGCGAGAGGCACGAGGTTTGTCGACGTAGAGCTCGATGGGGGCGAGACGGGACATGACGTTGTGTTTCCCATCGTGGTGGTACCGAATTTCGTACTGTCCCGGCTGCCAAGGCAATTGCTTGCCCTTCAAGACAACCATCCCAGCGTCCGCCTTCTTACCCTCACTCTCCGGCGTGACATGCTCATTACCCTCCCATTCCTCCTCGTAAACTCCAACCCACTTGCCAACACTCGAGATCTTGGTGACAATCTCGCTCTTGCAGCTGCCGAGTCGGTAGATACCGATCCAGTCTTTGGAAGAGTGGTTCGAAGGGGCATTCCAGGAGATGGGAATGGGCTGGCCAACGTGGAACGCGGGGTAGGGCGTAGGAGACGAGGAAGAGGTCGGGATCTGGAGAGAGTAGGAAGACGGGTCGAACGAAGTGAGGTCCTTGGGCTTGGCCACGCGACTGTCTTATTGTCATCTCATGCAAGAAAGACAATAGGATTAACTTACGTGATGATCATCCTCTCCCTAGACTGCTGCAACAGCCCCCTAGCATCGTCCACAACCCCATCCAACATCGGCCTCGCATGATCCAAAAAGTCTTCAACCCCGCCCCTGACCCGTTCTTCCACCTTTTCAATGCCCCTATTGACTTCAGATACGACTCGCGACACTCGAGGGTGCTTGGATACGGCTTGGCGGACGGCGGTAGAGTTGGGGAGGTTGGATTTGAGGGTTTTGGTGAGACCGCCGTCTTTACGGAGACGGTTGCCGTAGAGTTTCTGCATATGCGGGCTGTCTTTGAGTCAGCACGGCCCAACAGAGGTGCAAAGGAGACTTACCTCTCGACGAATTCCAAGAACCACCAATGACTCAAATGACTGACCACACCCAATACCCCGACCAACCAGCTCCCACCCATCAACCAACATCCCAGAAACACCGCACCGCCCATAGACCTCTCGGGGTTGTTCAAGAACCGATATATACCCGTGTACGCCAAGTCTGAGGGGAGGTAGGACGAGAAGAGGAAGAAATCCGAGTAGAACCATCCATAGGCGCCGAGGACTTCATAAGACGAGAGGGCGGACCAGATGTGGAGCGCGATGAGTGAGAGACCGAGGATGTGGCGGAGGAGGGTGCCAGACACGGTCCAGTCGGAAGGGAGGTGGTA